CCTCATCAAAACAAAACAACAACATTATTGCCCTCAACCATTGACGAAACAGCATCATGACTCTACTCACGCCCTCTCCGAACCCACAAACCAACACGAGTAACAATAATAACAATAATACTCGTCTTAGAAACAACAGTTATGTTCTGGAACAAGAAACCTCAAAAAGTTCATCTCATCACCAGCAACACCAACAACATCCACATGGAGCCGATTCCTCTCTTCAAGCTCAACTCTCTCGCCAACGAAGTCGAATACAAGCCCTCTCCATCGTTTTGGGTTTTTTATTTGCTGTTTGTGCTGTCGCCTTGCTCTCACCCATTATTGTCATTGTGATTCATACGATGGAACAACAACGAAGGAACGCCTACATGGAACAAGTGAAACAAGTGGCGATTACGGCTGAATTGTTGATACGAAAACAAGTGGAAGTATCGTTTGGATCGTTGAATATATTGACCAATGTGGCTCAGGAATGGAATTTTACGTTTGATTGGGAGAGATTTAATCGATTGGGAGCTCGCTTAAAACATGATTTTCCAGAATTGGATATGTTTGAATATGCTTTTACTGATGAATTTGTGTTGAATTATATCTATCCTTTGAAAGGAGTGGAACACATGATTGGACACCATATGGGATTGAATACGTAAGTAATGTTAGCTATTGCTGTGGAATGTCACTCACTTATGTTCTCTCTGTATTGAACACTCTATATAAAACACTTCACACGCACTCTCAATGATCTATTTAACAACAACAATTGTTGGTCCTGACCTAATCGAATTCTAAAATGTTCGCAAATGGACTTTTTATTGAACTCTTCCACCTTACATAATTAACCTCTTTCGAACATGATCCATTTCTTGCATTCCATGTGGCTGAAATTTTCTTGATTTCACTTGTAATTCACAGTCCTGCTCACACAGCAGTTATACAAGAAGCGGTTCGAACCAAAGAAACCAAACTCTTCGGTCCCATTAATCTCATTAATTTAGATCCAAATTCCATTGCTGTCATTGCACAACAACCCATCTTCTTTCCCAATAACAACAGTTTCTTTGGACTCAGTGTGGAATTATTTAACTTCAAATCACTTTTCGAAGCCATTGATTTGTATGAAGTTCTGTCAGGATATCAATATCAATTGTATGAATACGCTCAAAATCAAATCTTTTTAGAGAATTTGAACGGAACGGTGAATGGTACGGAGGGACGCATTGGTGTGAAAAATGTGAAACCCTTAGAAGATGCGTTGGAACGAAATATGACCGTTCTTAATTCGAATTGGAAAATCATTTTGAGACCTTTGGACGGATGGAATACGGGTAGTTTTTTATGGTTGGAAATTTTGATTGCCATCTTGGTGGAATTTGTGGTTTTTGTTTTGATTATTTTGGGAGTGAATCAACTCATTCAAGATTATTTCAGGAAGAGAGAATATAAACTCATTCAAGATAATTTGGAATTGAAAGTGAAGGAGAGAACGAGAGATTTAGCCAACTCTCATAATCAATTATTACTTCTTGTAGATCGAATTTCATTCGAAGAGCAAAAAACCAAAAAGATTATGAATTCATTGGAAGATGCAGTGGTCACGAGCGATGCGTTAGGCAAAGTCATTCACTGCAATAATGCATTCTTTAAGAATTTCGGGTATACAGACTCGGATTTATTGGATCGAGCTGTGATTTCAACAATTTTGCCAGAAATTGAACTTTCCAAGGTCATTCATGAAATGAGTCGAGCAGAATTGAATTCCTACATCAGCAACAATAGTAATTCATCGGTTCATTCCTTCGAGACTTTGGCAAAAACCAAAACTGGAATTTCTCTCTCTGTGAAAGTTTCTCTCTCACTAAGTCAAATTTATTCACAATCCTTAACAAACTCTTCTGTACCCAATCATTTAATGGTCACGCCGAGCTCATCCACTGCACCTCCCACATCTACAACGATGACCACTTCCAACTCTACCGACAATATGCAAACTCTATTGAAAGATAATCGACAAGAAACCGTCTGTGTCATTTTGATTCACATTCTGAGCAAGTCTCAGCTTGGAGCTACACTGCTAATGTCCCATTCGAGCTCTAATTCATTCCAGGAATATCAACTCAGCAATCAGCAAATGACCTTTGAATTTAAGGAATTTTTCATGAATTTAGAAAAGAGAAAACTCTTTAAGGAATTTTGTGCCAGTGAACACAACGATGAAAATATTAACTTCTTGGAAGACGTACTATTTTATAGGAGTTTGGGCTTCATTCAAGAACGAGTGAATATGCAACAAGAAATGTATGAAAAATATTTGAAACCCAATTCCCCTAAACAGTTGAACATTTCGAAAAAACAGTTGGAGACTCACTCTTTTAAAATTAGTAGAGGTTTGGGAGAGTTTGAATTGTTCGATGATTTGGAAAAGGTGGTGATTCAGAATATTATTCATGATTCATTTAAGAGATTTATGGACATGCGTCATTGAATAAATTGAATTTATCGCATTCATACTCGATAATGGTTGTTGAATGAAGGACAGGATAACCTTGTTCTCTCGGAATCAAGATGGAGATGGAAGCTCAATTGTCATCATCCCATAACCAAAACAATTCCTCAATGTTTGGTTCAACCCAGACGAGCGCTTGCACATAAAAGTAAAAAAACCAGGCCATTGTAAAATTTTTAATGGGTTGACTGGATTTTTTTTAAAAATTGTTTGAAAAAAAATACCACACATTTCGTCATAAACATGGGCTTCTTAGAACAAGATTTACTCTATCCTGATCAAAAGCAACAAGCAACTCAACACAAGTTGAAGCGTTTGATCCCATCACCAAACTCCTTCTTCATGGACGTTAAGTGCCCTGGTTGTTACAAGATTACCACCGTCTTCAGCCATGCTAAGAGAGTTGTTTTGTGCGGAAACTGCTCCACTGTTTTGTGCCAACCAACTGGAGGTAAGGCCCGTTTGACTGAAGGATGCTCTTTCAGAGTCAAGACCGATTAAATTTCTACAATAAAATTAATTAATTCTTAAATTGTTTTTGTGTTTTCGTAATGAACGTTACGCCTGACCTATTCCGCTAACGTTTATTGGAACAATTGGAATGAGTATGTTTCTGAATGCTGATGGTTGTCAGCAGGGGTTTGAACAGCAGGCACTTCTGTTTGATTCACTTGAATTTCAAAGTCGTGCTCGGTTGGTGACATTGAATGATGTTGTGCAGCTCTGGTTTCTTCAGTGGTGCCAACACTATTGTTCTTGGCATTTGCCTGTTCCACAGGTTCAATTTGCTGATTCAGATCGGAAGCGGCAGACTCGTTCGTGCTATCCACAGACGAAAAAGAAACCATGGAAGAAGAAATGCTCAAAGCGCTCGGCAAACCACTACCGACTTGCGCATTTTCATCACCATGCGATTGTTGTGGAGGTTGATGTTGTCCATAAGAAGAAAAAGCCAAAGCAGAATCGCTTGTTTCACTCGTTTGTGTGTTGGTGTTTGAGTTGAGGGATGACTTGTTGTTCCCATGAAGAAAGTTTGTGTTGTTGTTGTTACTGCTATTACCAAGCACATGGCTTGCTCCCATATTTGCTGCTGATGATGACGACGAAGCAAGAGAAAAAGTGCTGCCTGTACTAGTCAACATTGATGGATTGAAGTTGTGACTGCTGTTGTTAATGTTAGTGGATGGAATAAGGGAAGGCTGCAAAAGGGCTGAAACATGCTGTGCTTTCAATGTTGTGCTATCCAAAGGTTTGATGACATCTAGACCACCACTGACACTTGTTGAGGTCGCAACATTGAGGTGACCTTGAGGTGAGGGCGCGTCTCCTTTGGTGGACTGAGTGTCAATGAGCATATGGGCACCGAAAACTTCATCTTCACCGTCCGTCGTTTCGTTGGTCAATTCATCTTCAGCATTGGTTTCATTAGTAGATTTTCCTCGTGACGCTCTGGCATGACGTGCTGTCTCCGAATGAGCATACGAATCGTCATTTGCTTTGTGAGAGGAATGCTGCACCTTTTCAGTCTCTCTAGGAACAATGTCAATAAGGAAATCAAAAACATCGGTTTTTCCAATGGCAGCAGCAATATCATTTCTTTGAAGAGTTCTTCTTTTGGCCTCTTCGGTGTGAACCCATGCATGAAGAGTGAGCTCAATAATGAACATTTCACAAGCCTTAGCGAATAATACTGGTGCCTCAGCACTTATCATGGTTTTGGTTCGAACCTCTTCATCTGATTTCATAATCTTTTTAATTCTTGCTAGGGGTAATTCATTCTTTGGTTTCTTAGATCCAGAGTTTAAGACCATTTCTGTTATGAGCTTTCGCCAAACATTCATTGCTGATGGAGGAATTGTTGTTGAATGATAGGGGTCAATACCTGATGAAGACGGCATTATATGACTGTTATTATGTACAACCTGTTGATAATCGGTAAAGGGCCTGCCCAGATTTGGGTCACCACTAGTGCCATATTTCATGACACCATTTCCTCCCATGTGTTGACTCGGATGTGATTTAAAAAGATGGTGATGTTGTGAAGAAGGAGGAATCATGGAACCACCATTCTCCATTAAATTTGACGAGGCAGAATGAGGATGAAACGAATGAGGATGAGATGTGTACAGTGGTGGTGGAGGAGGATGACCATGATGTCCACTCGGAGTTGAGTACCATGGTGAAAATGTAGAATTTTGTGTGGAAATTCTATTGCTACTATTGGGTCGTTCCTCCTCTGCTGATGTTGCCGAAGAAGAGGGAGAAGATCTTGTTGGTACCATACTGTGTGGATTGGCATGTTGTAGAGTCATTGAAGAGTGGTGTGTTGTTGAATATTGAGCTCCAGGATGGAGAGTATGAGAGGGATAACCTGGAGGAGGAGGAGGATGAGTTCCGAGCACATTACCAGAAGTTTGGACATGATGATGACGATAGTATGGTACAGGAGGAACTAGTGCATGATGAGAGGCTGAATTTGTTGTTGTTGATGAGGGAGGAAGAGATTGGATACCGCTATGGTTGTAGCTCGCTGTGGGTGGTGGAACCGAGTAGCTAGTATGAGGAGGAAGATGGGCAGTACTTTCCGAGGAGGGAGGTGGGTATCCAGGATACAGTCGTTGATGTACCAGTGAAGGGTTGTGCGTAATACTCGATGAAGATGGCGGTTGTGAGGAAGAGGATGACTGTTGTTGTTGTGGAGCCATTCCATTTGGAGGCACATGGTTATACATTTTGTGAAAGAATAATGATGACAATGGGTAAATATCTACAAATAAATTAAATTCGAGTGATAATTCACGGATGATTAAAAGGCTCCGCTGCTGATTTCAAAATTCCAACAACAAAATTCCTAGCTCGATGATTCGTTGCTAATAAAAACTAGTGTTCAATTATTATTGTAAAATTATAAAGTATGATTCGTTTCCGATCTACAGCAACACCAAATGAATGGTGATGAGATAAATGGAGGTGGGAAATTTAATGAAGTTTGGGCTATTTTTTTCTGGAATAAAAATGAATTGCAAAAGTAGATCAAATCTTAACTTCATGTTAAAGACCTGAATAACACAAGTGAATTCGAGAATATTCGAGTTTTTAGATTAGGTCTAATTCACATCGGCAATAACACATGAGAGAATCTTTTTAAAATGATGTCCCAATACAATTCCGAGTTTATTCTACTGCATGTGGAGAACAAACTCAGCTTAAACTTACAAAGTTGCCTTTTTGAGGAATTCCATGTAATTGTTATTAAGGCTTCAAAAGAGAGTAGAACATTGAATCGATGGTCATGAATCTAAGTATAATATTGACAAGTTAGAACTTATTCCATATCTGCAAACTCTTGAAGTTGTTGAAATGATGACGGAAATGGACAATCTGTTTCAAGTCGTTTTCCCATCTTCTCCAGTGTCAATCCAAGATATTTTCGAGCTCTCAAATAACCATCTTCAATATTTTGATATCGATCCTTTTTAAGTTCGAGAATCTCTTTGATGGTTGTTTGCTGTCCTTGATTAATAATTTTGCTAATGTTGTGTTTGTATAAACGACCAGCTATGAAATTCAGTAAGACACCACTTGTGTGAATAACTTGATTCATCTCCATAGGATCAAATTGTACATCAGATCGAGATACTTACTTGCAAAATGAACATTGTGACAACGTCCTCTCGAAACTGGTGTGGTCACATAAATACTTGTCATGAGAGCATTGGTTGTCTTTTTTGATGTTAATTTACCATTCTTTTTCAAATAGGTATAAATACTAGGAAATTTTTCAGGATTAAGAATTCCCTTATTCACTGTAATGTATTTTCCATTCACAAAAAACACAGAACCTGATTTTCAAATACAATGTCCATGGTTGCAACAAGAAGTGTTCAAATTGATTTCCAAGCTAACAAAACTCACCTGCAGCATAACTCGTCCTCATTCCAAAAGGATTTGGATATTCAATATTAAATTTCACCCACCAACTTGGAAATGCATCTTTTTCATTTGTTGTCATGGGATCGATCATTTCACAATTTTTCAAAAAGGGATCTTCACTTCCGTCCTCAGAAAGGGCATCGTATTTGGTCGTGGGAAGAAACTTTTTAGTGGCAAATGTCGAACATTGTGCTGACACGACAATTTCAGCTGAAAATGGTAAAAATCCAACAACTTTTGCAAAGTTAAAAGACCCCACACCGACATCTTCACTATCCACAAATTGATGTCCCTTACTAATGAAAACACTCAAATCGATCGTTCCAAGCATGTGTTGTAAGCATGACATGTCACCTGCTGCCATTTCACAAAAATCAATTTCCTTTTGTGAAACATATTCTCTCATGAAATCCTGTTTTCGAAATTTCAATCGTTCGACTCGCTCCAGATCTTCTGCATAACAGCATGAATCTGCAAGTTCTCCGTTTTGTAAAACGAAATGTTGCCACTTTTCAGATTGTGAAAATCGAGGAAGAACATCTGATTTCAATAACAGAATTAATTGAAGTTCCACTTGATTAAATATACTCAAAGCCGTCTCCCATTCATAAATTCCAACTTGTTTAAAATTTTCTACAGAAGAAAATAAATTATGCTTGAGAAGATTGTTACGTGTCAGGCCATCGATATTAATTCCATATTCGGAATCTTCTTTGATATACTTTTTAAGAATATCATGAGCGAAATGAAAGGCATGTTCTTCTTTTGAAGATCTATCGTTAGAATTTTCAGTAAGGAATGGTCGTTTGGAGTGTTTGGAGTTCGTGGAAGTGCTAACAGAGCTTCGTTGAGGTGTCACAGAGGTTGGTGAAGAACTGGTGGTTGGAGTCAACATATTGACTTCTGACAGCTGTGATGTGTTCAATACTTTATCATTCTCTACCTTATTTAACAATCTAATTTCATCACTATTCGCCGAAGTATTCGAAGAACTCGATCTGGACTCATCCCATTGCTGATTTTCATTTTGCAATTTCAAAATCATTTGTTTATATTTTTTAATATCCAACAAACAATCCAACGATTCCAATACATGTTGACTCGATGCAAACTCTCGAAAACATTCCAAAACAGATCCACCCAGTTCAAGAATTTTTTCAAAATCAGGTCTCATATGAATATTAATAATGTGTGATTTTCCAAAATAATTTCTTTTGAGAGGTTTTTGTGAACGAGAACTATTGTCATTGTGGATCAACAATTTCGTATGATTATTGTTGTGGTTATTGTGTGGAGATGATATCGTTAAGCCGGCGCTTGTGATACCGAGATTGGAATTGTTCTTCGAAGACGAAGGTTGGGATTTCTGATCATTGTTACTATGGATTGATGATCGGGAATAGCCGTCAATGTCGTGGTTGGTGTTGTTGGGAGAATGATCAAGGCTCTGTGATATCATTTTTTTAATAGTTGATCTTTGACATTTTCGAACTTGTTGACATGTTTCATTGGAATCAATGAAGGGCTTTGACGGCTTCGTTTACGTATGTCTATGTACACTAATTGGCATTCTTAAGGTTGACTTCAATTTCTGATTCAATTTCAAGCTTGAAAAAAAAGTAACAAAATCATGCCATCACAAGATCATGCGGACAGTGTACATTTAATTCTTGAGGACCTTCAAAATGATCAGTTACATCTTCATGAAGGAATTGTTCCTTCTTCTCAAGAAAGAACCAATCTTGCTTTTACAACGGAAGAATTGCAAGCCTTCTTAACCAAAAGATTACGTGATCAAAAACGAATTCCCTTTTCTTATCAATTTGAATTGTTGGAGATTATTGATTGTAAAGATAGAAAGATTAGAAATGTTGAACAGGAAGAAGAAGAAGCAGATTCCGATAGTGATTTTGACGATTTTTTAGATGATGAAGAAGAAGATGACGAAGAAAATGATTCAATCTCGGAAGAAGATTATCAATTGTTTTGTCCCAGCGATGTAAAGATCTCCTATGCATGTAAATGCGTTCTAGTGAGTGATGACAATATTGGAAGAATATTGGTTTTGGATTTGCAAAGCAAACAATATTTGGATACGATTGATTTACCTTTTAAGGTTGCCTTCATGTTCATCGAGGAAAATTATGATGGACTCAAAAGAGATGCTCTTATTCTGAGTGGGGGTGATCATTGTGTCTACAAGTATGATCTCGAAAAATTACTTCGTCACCCAAATTGTGAATATATATGGCGTGCAGGTTTTCCCAATTCAAAAGATGTGTTTAATTTACCGAGAGGATTGGCCATGTACACCTATTGTTTGCCTCCTGGTCAGTGTGCTCCATTAAGAAGGGATCAGATCTATGTGTGTGATTATAAACACAATGAAATTAAGATTCTAGATGCAAATCATGGAGATTTGCTTGACAGCATTTCACTTTCGTTTTCTTATCCTTATGGGATAGACATTACAAAAGATGGTCATTTGGTTGTGTGTGAAACAGTTGGAGAAGTGATTGATATTTTATCTCATGACGAAGATCAGACTTGGAAGTTAGAGAAAGACATTGGAGAAAGTGGTACAGAGGCACTACAGTTTAGATTCCCAAGTAGTGTCATTGTAGACAAGGAGAGCCAATACTTGATCGTCTGCGATACAAGAAACTCTAGATTACAAATCCTTTCACAAGAGGGTTATTTCTTAAAATCTGTTGGAGATGACTATCAACAACAGACAGGTCAGCAAGCCTCTGATTTTGGACGTCCAGTGGCTGTATGCCTCAACGAGAGAAATGGTGAATTATTAGTATGTGACATTGCTCATTCGAAAATTCGAGTTTATCGATAATATGGAGACCTGTCAAAAAATCAATCAACAACTGTACATGGAATTAAGGCGACTTGTTTTGCAGACAAAACGCAAGAAGACTCACTTGTTTAACCAAGGGAGTTTTCTTAATTCTTTTCATACTCAATATTAATACACTTTTTGTTTGTTTTGAACTTTTTATGTAGTTAATAATTAACACGCAGCGATCAAGATCTGAGAAAACAAATCAAAAGTAATAACTACTGTTTATAGCTGTTCCAAATCAAAGATGGCAACGTCTTTTCCTCGCAATACTGTACCATAATCTCCAGTGAGGCCAATGCTGACATATCTGAGTTTGTAGGTACAAGGCACGGGATTTCCAATTGCACGGACTGCAGAGTCCAGTTGTGTTGGAGTCACATCATCATGTGCTATGGTCACACTGAATAATGACAATTAAAAATATGAGTAAATGATGGTCGTTACAGGTGAATACATGTTGTCATCAATCATTACTATGATTACTGTAATTATGTATTAATACTTACTGAGGTTGGAATTGTGAAAAAACGTTAGGCGAGCCGTATTGTTGAATCATCAAAATTTTCACTTGGCGAAGTTGAGGTGGCAAATTATTGACCCAGGAAGGAATTGTGCTCTTACTTCTTGGATCTACATAACGAGCAGTGGCATTCACAATTGCATTGCTTAGGCCTTGAAGACATGGTGAATTTTGAACATCCCACATGGCATATGATCCTGACACGTTAAAATACGTAGTGGTAGACACTGAGCAATTACCCAAATTAAGAGCGTTGAATTGAGAGATTAAGGTATTGTTCAAATCGTTCACAATAGTATCTCTAAATTCGGAAATAAATCTTGTCAAGTATAGCGTCACGTGAGGCTGATGAGTGATATTGAAATTAATTTGTTGATTCGGATCCATGCCTGTCACTCTATTATTGATATCCATTGCTGCGGCTTCACATTCAGCACTCAATTTAATATGAATATTGTAATCGGCAATCTAAATCATAAAATGGGTTCAAATTATTGCAAAAGTCATCATCAAATAATAAATTTTACAAGTACGATATTTCAAAGATATTTCCAAAAATTAAAATTTGTGTGAAATAATTCAATAAATATTTGAAGCATCGGGAATTTCACAACAACATGTACACACGATGATAATTCACAAATAAATAATGAAATTTCGTATATATTCTCATCGTCATTCTCGCGCACGAACAACCTACCTGGGAAGCATGGAACAGCTCTACCAACTGGACTATTAAAATCACCACTCCCACAAAGAAGGCAAATAACACCATAATCACAACAGCCTTCACTAAATTCACCAAAGTTGTCTTTACAGCACTTTTTCTCTTTCCAATGTCTCCCCGATAATGACTCTCCAAATCATGATCCTCTCTTCTAAAACTACTTTCATCAATCCGTAATTCAGTTTTTCCGGCATCTAACGGCTTGGCAAATTTTCGTTGTGAGCTCAAGTAGGAATGGGTAGTTTCCGTGTTTTGATGTTGTGGTTGTTGATTTGTTGAGCCATAGGAATCTCCGTAAAGGCCGTAATTATTATTGGAAGAAGACATTTTTTCTTTGCACAGAAAGACATGAGCAAATGGATGAGTTCAATGGTGTTTGAGAAACTGCTCTCAATAATTGAAACAGAATGTTGTTGTTCATTAGTATTATTATTTACAATTCGATGGCAGAAATGTCATTACAAAGGAGGGAATAGATAACCGTCTTCGCAGAAAAAAAGAACAAAGATGGACCTATTTCTTATGGCTGCGTGAATAAATATCCTTCAATTCTCATCTGTCAAACTATTGTTTGTGTCCTCTCAAAAAAGAACAGACACAAAAGCTCTCCAAATTCCTCTTAGTGCCGAATCATCAGTAGCATCGAGAAGAAGAATACCCAAGCAAGAGTCGTGAAATCATCAGTCTTCGGAAAACATGAGTGTGATTTCTTCTTCATCCACCTATTCATCCTTTTCCGAATCGGACGCTGAATTATTATCTTCATCATTGCATCATCCTCCGTATGTGGCCCATAATGATCATCGTGATGATGGGTTGGATGAATTGGATGCAGACCATCGAGAGGATGATGATGATTTACTGAACGAAGAAGAATATGAACAAGGCTTTGATGAATCTCTTTCAAGATTGTCCATGATGGAAGATGAGTTTCATCATCACCAACACGAGTTGTTCAATGGAGAAGATGACCCACATACTCTTTCTGAAGCAAAGAAAAGAACTTTAAAGAGAAGATTGGCCAACATCTTCCATCGTGGTGTTGGTGCTGGTTCTGTTTCTTGTTCTTCTCAAGACCTCTTTCTGTGTGGTTCTGTTTTTCATACGACTCGCATTCAACAACAACGTATGGAATACATCAAGAAGAGAAGTATTCAACAGCTCTCCAACCATGCGAATAATAATGGTATTAATAATCCTTTCAACAATACCATGAGTGCTTTTTCAGCAGCAACGAGTCATCGCTCTGTGGATATTGAACATCGTGAAGAAGATGCTTCATCCGCCTTGTTTTATAAATCTTTACCCTTTGGCGAGAATATTCGACACATTTCATGTGGCTCGAATCATTACATGATTTTGACAGAGAGCGGTCGATTGTTTTGCAGGTAGGTAATAATGATATCACTCATCGTCATAATGACATGGACTCTGTATCTCTCTCTCAGTGGAAGAAATGATTTTGGACAATTGGGTATTCCAGAAACTTTGAATCGAAGATTGGAAGGTTCTTTACTTGACTTGAATGCTCGTTTAGGAGGAAATCTCAATGCAACATCTTTATTGAGCGCATCCAATGATAATACGAATGGATTGAATTTAATGTCACCTAGAGATTACACTCCAGCAGTGTCACCTCGAACAACAGTTGTGAATAATCAAGCACAACCAATCATTCCTGAACAAGTCACACTTTTGCAAAAAGAGTTTAATCCTCATCCTGATTTGGAATTGAATTTTCTTGTGGAATGCAACTTATCATTACTCATTCCTGCTGTGGAGAATATTGGAAAACCTGTGTTACCAAAACGAAGAGCCTCTCGAGTATTTTCAAGAATGAACGATTTACAAAATCATTTTGGAGTTCGATTGGTTTCATGTGGCTCCAATCACACCATCATTGTCACAAATAATGGTGATTTATATTCAACAGGAGCCAACGTGGATGGACAACTTGGATTAGGCGATTTTTGTGACCGTTTCATATTTTCGAAAATTAATGTATGTTTAGAACAACCCATTCAACAATTGCATTGTCAATTCAATCACAGTGCCATCATTACTACTCGTGGAGAGTTGTATGTATGTGGCTCGAATGCAAATGCTGAAACTGGACTCTTGCTTCCCAAAGCGAAAGTGAGCGTTTTTTCACAAGTTCCCATCAACGTTCCTGTAAAATCGATTCGATTTACAATGGATAGTACTGTTGTACTGAGTACCGATGGAGACTTGTACAGTTGTGGAATTGGTGGAGAGCTCAATAATGACCAAAATGGAGATAATTCCTCTGTCGATGAGAAACGATTTACCATGTACAGAAAAATGTCCATCATTCCATCCTTTAAAAAAGTGAATATTAACAATGAGAAGTTTGAACAGATTCATTGTGGAGCTACATTCACACTGGCAGCAACTACTAATGATGAAGTGTTTGTGTTTAATAATGGTTCTACTAGCTCAGGAGAGGAATATTCCCAATCACCAAGATACAACACCTCGTCGTCAACTTCAGTGATGGACCATTACTTGTCGTATCGTCAATCCATGTTGTTGCCAAGCAAAAATGGTGGTACTACTGCTACAACGAAACCTTTTAAAACATTTCGATTGAAAGCAAAAGAAAATGATGACATTCCTTTCACCACGAAAATTAAGGACATTTGTTGTGGACATAATCATGTCATTATTACGGATTATCTCGATCAATTTTATGGCTTGGGAAGAAATGATGATGGACGATTGGGATTTCCATCGAAACGACCTGACCATAACAAGAAAAATGGAACTCTTGAAAAGAAACCAATCTATGTGAATGATGTCAAACGGGTGGAATTTTCAAATCGATACATGCAATCGTTTAACTCGGTAGCATGTGGAGAAAAGTTTACAATATTTTACAATAAGAGGGAGGATGAATTGGTGGAATTGCAAAAAAGAAAACAGAATCCACTTCCTCTCAAACCATTGTTCACAAAACGAGTTCACACCTTGCCATCAAGTGGCACTTGCTTGAACGTATTTCATCCACTTTTGCAACAATTGTGCCCAAGCTTAGCTTCTTGCCTTTCTACAGATCGTTCCTTGAATGTTCAACCTTCAGATGTGCCCCTACTTCAATTGCTTATTGACTCTATCATTAATGAGGAGGATATTGATCAGGACGTCATGGATGATGGTTCCAAATTGTTAAGATTATTATATTTATTATCCGTTCATGTGAAATTGGGTGAACAAGTAGATCTAAAGTTGAAAATCCTATGGAAATTATTGGACCTAATTTCCATGGAAAACGTGAACACATTCCTGCAAGACATTGTCTCATGTATGGAAGAAATGGACCGAGTCAATACATCCTCGTCTGAAAATAAGATTAATTCAGCGGTTCTTAAGAAATTGAACGATTATCATGAGACGATACTCATTGAAATTGCCAAATCCTGCTACAAGTGGATGTTCTTACTTGGAGAATATTGCAAAGATTTACTGGACATGTCACTCGGCGTGAAATCAGAACTCGCTCAACAACTTGTGAAAAGAAAATTACCAAACATGTTTAAGCAAACTTCTCTCGCATATTCAGTGATTGTTCGAAGTGAATTACAGACCCATAATCATCTCACATCACCATTGGGAGCGGCTAGAAAGTCACTTTACAACCATCAAGAGACAAGCGACATTAAGGTCGCATTGAACCACCATCGAGCCAACCTCATTCATGCTCACAAGACAATTCTCGCAAGTTGCTCTCCAGTATTGGATTCATTTCTACGAAAACAACACGAATCTACCCACAGTGCACACACGAATAGTGAAACGCTTGATTTATACTCGTTATGTTTTGGAACTGAACTTCATCTATTGAATCGAAATTTCACTCAAAAATCTCTCGAATTATCACTCCAATACATGTACGACGTGTACGACACCAATCTTGACATGAATCCCTTAATGGACCCGAAAGAGGGAATTGATTTATTTTTCTGTATTCAAATTGTGGCACTCAAATTACAATCCAATTACCTACAACAGAAGGGATTTGAAATTTTAGAATTATTCAAAAAGAATTTAGCAGACGATCATACCATTTCACTGGTTGAGAGATCACTCGATTTTGTTGAAAGCTACAAACTACAAGATCCATTCAAGGAAGATTTCACAAGAGCCATTGTGAAAATTGTGAATGACAAATGGCCATCCTTGTCAGCAAGATGTCGATCTCGATCCGATTGGAAATATATTTTGCAATTATTCTATAATTTTGTGGAGGAGGAACAATATTATGACTTTTTGTAATAAACTGTTTTGAGACTTGATTTCCAACATTGAATTTTATTTTTCCAATTCATAAACACATCCAGCTTGTCACTCATCAAACATTAAAAAAATGGTCGTGACAGTCTTCCGTCCCATGGAAAAGAAATATGCCACCAATGGCTGGCGTGTTCGTTTAATGCTCGAAGAAAAAGCTGTCAAATATGAAACCCGTCTTGTGATTCTCGAACACAGAGAACATTTAAATGAAGAAATTAGAAAATTAAGTTATAGAGGTAAATATCTTTTTCATTCACTGAATTAAATTTATGAAATCTTGGTGAACGATGATCGTGATCGGATGATGATTGAAATCAAATGTAATCCTTTTTCTCATGATAAATGTCTTGATGATGATGATTTTGATCTTTCTGTTATGATGAATCGAATGAATGAACAATGGAATATAATTCTTTCAATGTTCATGACCAACGATGATTCATGTTGAAATCTATTACTGTTGATGATGCTCTATGAATTATACTACTGTGGCAATTTATAACATATTATTTTCCAAATTTATACATGCCATCATTTATTAATACATGATGTGGAATATTATGACAACACTATCCATGTTTATATCACACACGCATCACACAATGTGTTGTTGACACTCATTCACTCTATGATGGCATGGACTCTATCATTATTTCCATATATATATATATATTTATTCACATCTTTCAACAATTATGAACACACACAAATATGTATATATATATCATTTCTCAACTACTACACATACAGGTGAATTACCACTCTTTGAAGACTTTTCTGGATCAGTCCGAGAAGAAACAGCCATGTTAAATTATATTGAAAAAAACTATCCAGAACCTCCTCTCATTCCGTCTCCAGAAAAAGATCGTGCCTTCTATGGAAAGATTTTGAGTTGGTTCCATGAAGCGAATGGAGCATTTGCTCAAACTTGTAAAGACATGATCAATACGTTTATTGAATTGGAAGAAAAGAATATCACTTCACACAAGAAACTTCCAAAAGAAATGAAAGATTACAAAACTTTGGTTCAATATTGGAAACAAAAAATTGAAAGTGAAATGGTCATTTGGGAGAATCGATTGGGAAATGAAATGACATATTTTAATGATTCAGATCGTCCTTCCATTGTTGACGTTTCATTATTTCCATATTATTATCAAATTGTGAGATATGGATTGAATGAACAAAATCTTCCAAAACTTAAAAAGTGGAGAGAAAGAATGGAGGAAAGAGAAAGTGTGAAGAGAACAAGTCCAACTGGATGGCAAGTTCATCCATTCTTGTTGAAATTTTAATGAAATTCTTCGATCCATATTTAATTATTTTTATTTTTTTGATGATTGTGTTGATTTATTTTGATAAGATTGGGATGATTGAGAATCAATATTTCTAAAAGATTTGGATGATGAAGTACTTCTCACATGTCATGTCAAAGGTTGTAATCAACTCACTCAATATTAATCTTCATGTTAAAAAAGCCTTCTTTGGATTATTTGTTAAGGTTTTTCTCCAACTGTGATTATTTCACAATTTCTCAACAATTCCAAAAATGAAGGAATTTAATCGCTCACAATTCCATATCCTGATCATTGCTATCGAACAAACTCTGAAAAACATCATGGAGTGAATCGTCGTTCTTCTCTTTTGAAAAGACATTTCCATGATTTTTGGAATGTAAAAACAGTAACACTTCTTTTCGATTCAATACGTTCTTGGAAATGATTGAACGTGTCGATCAGTACAGGAAATCTTTGTCGTGCTTCAAGCAACTGAGATTTCAATTCATACATGTTTAAATTGGAATTCAAAACATGATGGTCTTCTTCCAATGGAAATGTTGCATTATTATGGAGAGAATCATCAAGTGGATGATTTAAATCGTCGATCTTGCTACTCCTTGAGGATTCAGAGTCTTCTCTTTTCGTTTTCTTTCTTCTTCGATTTTTAACATTCACAGGTCAATCTTGACAATGACGTTTTCGATAGAGACCACACTTGTTGCACAATATTTCATTGTTTTGGCCAAATCTCCAAACAGGAGAGATGCATGTCTGGCAATTATGACAAACAACGTGAGACACATGGTTCAAAGTCGTGGTGCAGCATGTTTCCGCTTGTTGAGTGTAGAATGTGCTCTGATTCGAGGTTTTGGAATTGCTGTGAGACATGTTTGTTGTTGTTTTTTGGAATTTGGGGAAGGAATGGGTGCGTTTCTATAAAGTATCAAAGTTTGTCTTCTACATGATAACACTGAGCTATATGAAAACGGATTGGATATCTTGCAAATGGAAAGTATTTAGAATACACTTACAGAGCATCCATTACGTTCTTGGGATCAATTATAACAACTCTATGATTCGTTAGTTCCCCATAGGTTGGTTACATGTGAGGCTGGAGGTTTTGTATCGACGATTATTAAGCTTGCTGAATTTAAATCAAATAAAAATAATAGAGCTCTGTATTGTTGACAGTGCTCTCAAAACTATTGGTTAAATACTGAACGGGTAGAAATTGGACCGAGTTTCCAAATCAGAAAAGAGCCGCTGAATCTTTGCTGTTTCATGGTTCCAGTTCGTTATCTTCCATGATTATAATTCCAGATCTTTGGAAAACAACATTACAACTCAAACACGATAAATCAACAAAACAACAAATATTTAATTACCACTCGTTACAAGATTGAAAAAGTTGAATTCAAGGCCTTTGACAGATGTTTCTCATCTTGTTTCGATAATAACAATTCAATCACATGTTTCTGGCTCAACACGTGTTTTCGAATGATGGATATCATGGTTTCGATCAGTTCTGGATATTCACTCGATGCTTTGTGGAGTTGATTTCTCAACAATTCCATACTCGAGCATGACTGGTCGTAATCTAATTGAAAAATATCTTCATTTACAGCGTGTTGGAATGAATCTGTTTGGAGTATTTCAAAAAGCGTAGGAGATTCTCTATTATTACACTCTGGTCTGCTCATAGCAGCTTGTGAAATATCTTGCTGTACACCAATTTCAGAGGTTGTGAAATTTTGTAAACTATCCTTAGATTGATTTCTCAAATCGAGACTCGATGAAGACTCTTTCGATGAAACTGTATACAGAGTAGAGAGAGTGTCATTCTCTGCATGTAGTTTCTTCTTTTTCCTTTCAACGCTGTATATTTCTTGTGGTTGGTCACTCGTCGAAGAAGAATTTCGTTTCTTGTTTTTAACACTTCGTTTTGGAAGAAGAAGAGGTCGCTGATGACCATAACGCTTTTGATAGAGACCACACTTGTTGCATAATAATTCAAATTCTTCACCTAATCTCCATGCTGGTGAAGCGCATGTATGACAATTATGACACTGATTTACCATAACATTTAAAGTGGACTCCTTGTCATGCTGTGACTTGTTGACACCTGTTGTTTCTATCCCCACACTGGGAGAGTGTGACTTTCGTGGATTCGTGCCACTTCTTCTTTTTCGTTTCGTCTCAGCAGTGGTTAGTTCTGTTCGTGAGCTTGGAACGGACATGATTTTTTTCAACTCAAACAATGATAGGTTGAAAAACTCACAACGTTGCTTACTGGTGTTGGAACTTGTCACGAATTCCATTGAAAATGGTTGTGTGGTTGTACGAGCGGAGCAAATCTTTTAATCATAATTGAGCTTTCGATAACAATGAAAGGTAATCGAATCTCATAAGGGTTTCTAGGTGGCTGAGTGATTTTCATTGTTCTTGAGGTGAGTTATGGACAAGAAATAAGTTCCAAGTTCGAGGATTTTCGATTTTATAAAATATACACACGTGTTATGCATGTCGTTGGGTTGTTGTGTAAAATTGAGGTAATGAGTAAAATTCCATTTCTCGCATGAATAAGGTGTTGTTCGATTGTGAATTCAGTAAAGAATCTAAAATGGGTGAATCCGAATATTGTGTGACAGTTGGCATTTGAGGACATCGATGCTGTGAATGAACCATGGCAACAATATTTGGTTGATTCAATACGTGTTTCCTTATAATCGATATTAAGGTATTCATGAGTAATGGATATTGATGTGAGGCATCTGATAATTGTTTTCTGAGCATTTCCATGGTTGGTAAGCTTTGATTTTCCATATTTGAAAATTGTTGAAAGTTTTCCATTGGGAGTGACATCTCCAAGTCATTGGTCAGGATTTCATGATCAAGAAAATCAAAAGAGAATTCATTGGATACATTGGTGAGTGAAACTGGTGAGGTTTGTAAATCGCTGTCTTGTGAATTTTGACAACTGACAGCACTCGAGTCGGGACTTGAATTCTCACTTGTAGTGCAAGTGATCGATTCATTCGAATGAGTTGTTGTTGTTTTCACTTTCTTTGCTTTCAAGTCGTTCTTTGCCTCTTCTTCCTCTTCGTCCTCAGCTGTCACTTGTCTTTTCTTTGAAGAAGAATTTTTTTGCCTTCTTCCTGCTTTCACAATAGTAGGTCTGTTTTTTCCATATCTCAATCGGTAGAGTCCACACTTGTTGCAGAGAATATCATCCTTGTTGCCTTTTCTCCAAACAGGTGATTCGGTGGCATGACAGTTGGCACACGATGTACGTGCAGAGGGGTGAGAGGAGGGTGAATTAGAGGACGTGTTCGATGGTACAACGACATGTGTTGATGTTGGTTTCATATTTTCAGATGACGATGTTATTGGGCGTTGAGATTGAACGGCTCGTTCTTCTTGCACGGAAATCGTTATTGGCATCTGACAGGAGGTTGCTTCTCTGCGTGATGGTTTTTTTGTGTGTGGTGCATTTCACACCACTCAACAAAATATTCACCGAACTCAACATTCACTTGACGGTCGCGTTTCCTTCAAATCAGTACATGTTATTCTCATTGATTTCATGACAGCAGAAAAACCTGAATGAAAAGTTAAATGAAGGAGTGCAGATTCGGAAGATCTCTTTGAAATGGAAACTCTCATTACTGGCTTGGAATAAGAAAAAGATTCTAAAAAAGACAATGTAGAGATGGTCGAAATTACAAAGAACAAAATCGATGCTGCCCTGTTGGATGGACCTCCAGTGGGGACGACCGCTACTAGTAGAATCTTCTCATTCCTTCAAAGCTGTTCTTGTTGGGTTGCAGTTCTTCCGTCTGTTAAATAATGTGTTCACTCAGATGCAGTGTGTGAACGAATGATTGAGCATTGCTTGGGAGTAATGAATTTACTGGACATATTAGAGGATATTTACAATTAGGAAAATGCATTTTAAACTTTGAAATGAGCTTCTTACACACTACTCTCTTCAGTAGTGACACCACCATGATTACCTTCATCCCCGAAACTCCATAAATTCATCAGCTCACTATGAAACACTTGTTCGTGAGATAGTTCATTGTTCGTGCTGATGCATGTGGTCATCTCATGATCCAAGACTGGCATATGTGTCGATGAAGATTTGGAATGAGGATGACAAAATATTTGATCCAGTTCTTGTTCGAATTCATTGGCAGTGGTGTTGTTTAGACTGCTTGTCGTTGGTTGTGACACAACGATTTGTTGTTGTTGAGTGGAGGAATCTAATGCATGACATTCGAATGAGGTGGTTAAAGGAGATGCAACAATCGACCTCGTTGTTGAGTTTTTATGGAGTTCCGAAATGTCCATTCGTGTCGTTGTTAATTGAGAAACAACGGTTGGTTGGGTGAGAACATGTTTTCGAATGATCGAAACAAGAGTGTGAATGACTTGTGGGAATTTTTCAGAGGCATCTTCCAACTGTTGTTTTAAATGATACAAGGAGAGGATTGAAGAAGAAGTGACATGATCGAGAGGAGGAGTCAATATGGTTGAATACGTATTCGACATGCATGATGAAGAGATGGATTGCGGTTGAACTGCCAGATGAGATGATGACGGTTTGACTTTTTTCAATAACGGTTGCACATGTGAATTGCAATGGTCCACTGCATGACCATGATCTCGTTTCTTACCATTCGTATTATGGTTGTTGTTCCTGTCGCTGTGTGACTTCTTCTTGTTGTTTGGATCCGAGTCCACATCTTGCACACCAGATTGTTTCTTTCTCCTTCTTCCTGCTTTCATGGATCCACACAAGGGTCGATTGATTCCATACCGCAAGACATAGAGTCCACACTTGTTACAGAGTGGCCATTCACCTTTGGATCCCTTTCTCCAAACAGGTGAGGATTGGGCACCACAATTGAGACAAGTCGTGGTGGTGGTTGTTGTCGTTGTCGTAGTTTGAGAGAGTGGAGAAGATGATTTTGCATGTGTAGCCATCGTCAAGATTTCTTTTCTATATCGGGAGGATTTCAATACACTCTTTTTTTTGATTTCTGAAGGAATTGAGAGGACAGTTCGTTGAGACTTTCTAGCTGGAATAAGTGTGATGAGACGTAATGGAGGCATGATATCATCAACATGATTATGATAACAAGAGTGATAACACGGGGTTTGTTGTGAGACAACTGTCCAATCGTTACTCTACATCTGGCCAGATCAAGCTGTTGACATGAGATGGAAATTTGCCATGTTCTCATTTCGCGGTTTGTTAATGACTGAAATTGTAATTTTGATTTAGGTGAAAAGGAAAGAAAACAATGTTTAATATGTTGTGCCTTGATCACTAGAGTTGTAATAAAGGCACCCCATTATTCACACATTGCTTTCATTATCAGAATTTTCACTAAGTTCAGCCTCTGATGAAAAAAAGTACCATGAATCAGAGTCAGTTTCCGCTTCTTTCTCTTCCTCATAACGGCTTCCACTTCGACAGCTGGAACTGCTCTCATACGAACATGGTGAGAAGTTACGAATTATTTCCCTATCACTCTTCGTATCACTCTTTACACTGGAAAGGATGGCGGGAGGATGTTGTTGTGGTTCTTCAAAGACATGCAACAACGATTGATCACACTCGTTCGAGGTTTCATGAGGTTGTTGAGAAAGAAGAAAGGATTGTCTTGCAATATGTTGCGGCAATACATGCTTTCGAACGAGTGAAATCAAGGTACATACTACCTCTGGATATTTCTGGACTGCCTCTTCCAGTTGTTGTTTTAGCCGCAGCATGGATTGGCTTTCGAAACAGTCATTATTTCCATAATTACTCATTGGTGAGGAAGAATGGCTTAGGGCCTTAGAAGAGCTTGTTTGAACGTTTGGATTTTTGTCGTACTTGGTCTTTTTCTGTGAGGTCTCTACATTGTCACACCCCTCATTCTTACGCTTGGTGTTTTCACCGTTGCATGTATGATTGACTTCGTCTTCTTGCCTTCTCTTTCTAATTTCTCGAATAGAATCAAATTCAAGTGGCCTGCTTTTGCCATGTCTCAATACATAAAGACCACACTTGTTGCACAATGGCTCGCCATTAGATCCCTTTCGCCAAACAGGTGTCTCTACTGTTTTACAATTTTCACATGTGAGTGGTATGGTTGGTTTGGATTTTCTATTTGTGTTGGAACGATGATTACAGTGTGATTCTTCTTCATTGTCACCGGATGTATGAAGGGATGCACATTTTTTCTTTCTAATCCGTGCATGTGTAGTAGAAGTGTTTGGTTGGATTCCATATCTATTGCCACGAATCCATGCAGGTATCATGGATGATGTTCGAGTTGATAAATTAGAGTTTGATACAGCTTGTGGAGTGGAATGTTGTGGAGAGGACATGGCTATTGTACATGAAGAAGGGAGAGAATTGGTTTGGTTTTTTTCTGAGTTGCAAACAAGCCGCAACGCGAATCACCAAGTAATAACATTGTTACTTTGGATGTTTGAATGAACATTGAAATTATGGCTCAACTTTTCAACGATCCAAATGGAGCATCATCTAGCTTACAGTAAAACTATGTTCCATTAAGCTGTAACAAACAATGCAAGGTTTCTGACTTGGATTGTTTTTTGACGTGTTATCTTGATATTTGATCCTGAACCAACAAAATTATCAAACTCCACTAACCCTTTGCGGAAAATGGCATGATCCGTGTTTGCAATTCCCTGCCAAAGCAATCCCAAGCTTCATATTTTAATGGGAACGGCTTGGTTTCGTAACCGAAGGTTTAGTTCGGTTAAATCTTGCTCGTTCACAACCAAGAGCATGACCACCACGAGAATACATTGTTCGGAACCTCATCATCATAGCAACGTTATCTTTTCAAAGGTTCAGGCTTTTCAATTTAAAATATTCTATCGAATACGATATTTAGCTATGATCATCAAAAGCACACACGGTTATCAAATATCATCATTTACATTTTTTTATGTACAATTTTAAAAGAGCCTGTTCGATCATACTAATGAATAGCTTCATTCAAATCCTGATCCAGTTGAACAGTTGATTACTCCTCCTCCTTATCTTCTTCTTCTTCTTCATTCTTTCGTTTGTTATGACTGGGAGCAAGCTCTTCTTCATTCTCTGTAATACTCGAATGAGGCTCTTGCAAATTTCTGTCCAAAAATTCCTTACATTCATCCAGGACATGTTGCTTCGTAAGAACATGCTTTCTGACCAGTGAGATGAGGGTTTGCATCAAATCTGGATACATTTCACTGCATTCATCGAGTTGTTTCTTCAATTGAGGTAAGGTCAACACTTGTGTAGCTTTCATGCGAGCTTCCAGTGTTGAGGTATCCCCACGCTGGGATGTTTGATCTTGTAAAATCGATGTGTTGGGAGCCGTATTCGTTTCATGGTCGTCGTCATTGGAGTCGGCAAGATCTTGAAGATGATCAAATTTTCGTTTCTTTGGAGAGGAAACCTCATTCATCGACGAGAGCATGGACATTGAAGAATTCGGAGAGGATGTCCTAGTTGTGGTGGTGGTGGTTGTGGAGATGGTTGCAGGGTTCGACCCTGTTGTTGTTGTTGATGATGTCTCTTTCAACATGTAGCTCTCACGGCACGTTTTACAAATCTCTTTGGTTTCGTTTTTTATGAAGGTTGTGGATGCAAGAGCACAACTCCTCTGCATGGATGAGACGAACATGTTTGCTTTTTGTTTGATATATGGATTTGAATCATTAACAATGTATCATCAACAACGGAGAGTGTGTTCTAGTTCAGAACCTGGAAATTGATAAATCGACTCACACTGAGGCTCATTTGGTTTCGAGTCAGTCCACTGTAATGGAATTGTTTCAATAACCGAAGGATACTTGTAGGTGAAATGGCACTGTCTTTAGTGATCATTCTTCAGAAAATGGATCTACTATTATGATGAAGCAGGGAAAAATTTGTACTTGACTTCCGCCAATCGAGTTCATGAATGGAAATTAATGAAAAAGGAGAATTTTCACACAGAACGGAATGGAATGTCTCCCGTTATCGGGTCGAATACAAAATGTGAACAAATTGAATTCATTTGGAAAGACAGAAAAAGCGCCTCGTTCTTACAGTAACAATTCATGTAATTTTTTGAATTTCAATGTTTAACATCAGGCCATCAAAAAAAAGGATGCTTCCAACCACCACTCCCGAGCAGGAAGCCAACAATCTTGAGTGGTAGCCTTCCACATCTTGTTTTGCTTGTGCAAATACATGGTCGTTGCAGTGTGATCGCTCATTCCTTGCCCAAGAACTTTAGAGTGATCACAACTGCATTTAACCGAGAACTTTGAAATTCCATCATGGTTTGTGGTTCGGTAAAATGCGCATGAAACTTGACCTTAGTGCACTTCAGGTTCAACTTTATTTTGATGTCGGACTGGTGCCATTTAAGGTTCAATCCAGGAATCATCTTTCTGTCCTATTCTCTCAGTGTCATTGATCTATTCAAAATGGTTCTCATGTAAGTTTCAATTCAAATTTAACCAATTCAACCAAATGATAAATTCCTGAAAACTTATGACTCCATTCCGATCCAAATCCAAACTTTGCATGGCTTGTTGAACTTCCTTCATGGAAGCATCATTTCGATTTTGATACAATTCCTTATAGAATTTTTCAAATTCATCCGAAGATAACACTCGATTGCCGTTCGTGTCATACTTTTTAAACATGACAGCTGCTTGTGTTAATAATTCCATTCTCTTCTCAAGCACGGATAATTCATGAGCGGATGCAATTTTAATCCAATATTGTTGAAATTCGTCCAGAGTCACGACACCATCGGAATTCTTGTCGAGATACATGGATAATGCAAAAATTTCGTCTTGACAGAAATTAAAACCTAAATCCGAAGTGAGTCGGTCCAAGTCTGTCATGCTGATACTTCCAACTTGTTTCTTTGTTTCCAAGATGATGTGATGGTATAATAATTAAAATGTACACCGAATCCGATTGGGATTATGATGTATCTCTTTAGAGAGATGATGTGTTCGCAAGTTCAAGTGATACATACAGAGTCGTATTTGGTGAATAACGATTTAATTACTTTAGGGTCTGTGCAGTAAATGAGTGAAGTCATTTTTTTGTTTTTTATTTTGGATGAAATGTCGCTTGTCAAAGTGATTCATTCGGAAAAGGCATTCATTTCTAATTGACCGTGGTACAGTGAAGGAATGAGAGGGCACTGTAAAATTAAATCCTTAATCGCTTCTATTTTCCATGTAGTTCCTTTCTGGTAGCCAAGAAAGTACATCAAATTGCAAAATCATCTTTTTCTGTGTTCTTTAGTGAGGGAATACCTCAACGTTTTCTTCATTAATTTAGGACAATTGCTGAAAGTAATTTCACATTTTCGACCATCGGTATCCCGAACGTCTAAAATTCGTAGATTAGGTGCTTGCAAGTCGAGTTCAATCGTAACATTTCTAACTCCAAATAATCGTAACATTTTGAGGTTATGGTGTTGGTAGTCTTTGAGAGTGACATAGGATCGTTCTTCTCCATTGTAACAAAATCCATATTCTGTTCTTACGTCTAACACTTCCAAGGATGGTAGTTGGCTCAATACAAATGAAAATCGTTGTTGCGGATCTATAATTTCAATTGTTTTTAAACTTGCAAAGTGATGAGTGTGTAAATGATTGAACGGTGAGCATAGACCCATGGTCATGAATGATTCCAATTGGTTGACATCATTCGTATCACAAAATTTAAGCCGTCCAGGAGTTGAGGTTTGAACGAGTTCTACATGCTTCAAGTTTGGACAGTTAATCTTGGTTTTTTGTACTGATTCATGTATATTCATTTCTAAAGAGACTACATTCGGAGATTGAACTAAGAGCGTGTCGTCTGTAAACGTTTCTGTGGTCTTGGCTGTTTTCAATAAATGTTGAATGGTCATCTTCATTTGTTCGCTCTCGTATGGAGTTTTTGAATGCTCGTTCCATTCCAATAAGGCGCTCATACTCTTGACCAATGGATTTGTCAAATAAAATGTGCTAATTTCTAATTGAATTTTGACATTTTTCAATGTTTTGTTGGTGCTTTTTTTGCCACATAGTTCATCAATTCTCATGAACAATGCTGGAAGAAGCTCCTTTTCTTTTTCGTATGCGGTGATAACTAGACGAATTTCCAACTCTTCAATGTGAGATATTAACGCGTTGGGAAGAATCATTCCGCTAGAGGTTTGAGGATTGGAAAAATTCAATGAGGTGACTAGAGGCGTTTCCCATCTCCATTGGTGTGAATAGTAGAATAATTTCTTATTGTTTCTTGAATTACATCCAATGATTAGACCATTCAAATCAATGGACTTCAACTGTGCACATTCAATAAAGCAATCTTGCAAATGAGGTATTCTAATGACAACTTTTTTGGCTTGTGGACATTTAAGAGTGATGCCGGCATACCTGGTATCCTTCAACAAGATGTCAACAATTCCATCATGATTAATTATTGTTGAGAGTGACTGTTCCAGGTTTTCATTGGATGGATACTCCTGGAATGATTTACCTCTTTCCGGCTCTATTTTGAAAATTAAATTCTTTAACCCTTTCAACGAGGTGATCCATCTCGAATAATTATGGATCATGTCTGAACATGTGGTCAAAATTTCTAACATTTCTAGATGAGGTCCAAACGAATTCTTTGATACGGAAAAATTGTGAATACCAATTAATGACAGTTTCTTGATTAGAGGAGCTCTCATGTAAACAGTATCAACATTAACCACGTTAAAAACATTGGATGACTCTACGTTTGACTTGAGAACTAGCTCCTCCAACTTTGGAAATTGAGATGAAATTGCAACTTCATATCCTGTAACTCCTGAGGTAATAATGTTTGTCAATATCAATGTGACCAATTTGGGATATTGCAAATTGAAAAGTTGATTAATATTAACAATATTAATTTCCTCAATCTCAATATGGAGAATATTTTGCAAAAATGACATGTGTGAGAGTTGCTTGTTATAATTGGCATTTCCAAAATGATCGATACAGAGATATAATAATTTGAGGTGGCTGTTGTCATCAACAATATCACCAATCTGTTCAAAAACTACAGAAGGGAATGAATGATTACAAATCATAGTGCCCTCTTCTGTCTTTGTTACATGGAATGCAGACCCATTGATATAAACCGACACATATTCAATGTTTGGATTAGACTTTGCCTCATTAATAATTTTAAGGAATTCTTGTACAAGATGAGATCCACACTCAAGATCAATCTTCCTAGTATCTTCGTTAACTTCTACATGCCAACACAACCGTAGCTCCTTTAAACTTTTCCATTTCGATAAATTTTGAATAATACTAGTGTCAATAGATTTCAAATGTGTGCTTGATTGTTCTTCCTCGTCATATATCCCATCTCTACCTCTATATGTAAAGTTTAAGGTTAGTACCTCGATGTTTGGAAATGCAGTATTGTAAAGGCAAAATATATTTTCTTCTGGCAGTCGACTACTTGTCAACGTTTTTTCAATTTCACTTTCATGAATTGGAATCCAATCAAACACATAATTCACGTCAAGAGAAATTCTTTTCACAAACACAGGATCCATCATTGATTGCATAAACTCAATAAACAGTGCATGAACTGAATGCTTGTACTCCTCCTTTCGGAATACTAGAGCCTCGTTATCGCAATTATCGAGCTCAATTCCTGATGGTTGGTGATCAAATACAAGAGTTTCTTCATTGAGCATGTAAAAGTACATGAAATTAATGAAATCAAACTCTATCAATTCTGTCACTACACATGTCCTCATTAATTCTCGCATTCTTTTGTTGATATGAGAAATTCTAATCCATGTTGTAAAAAAATCGCAGTAAAATTTGATGGACTCTTGCTCAGTTTCATTGACGCTATCTGTTCGTGTTTCATAAAACTTGGCGAGAGGTGATTGTGACACCAATGGAACAACCTCAATATCAAATATCGATCGATGGTAACACTCTTCAGGAGATTTGTAATGTTGCTCTTCTGATGAGCATAAATTTTGTTCCTCTCCTGACGAATTCGTAAGTTTTGTAGAATGTTTAAATACATTCAACGTGAAAGAAAGAATGATATTCCATATAGATTGTGAAAGACAAGTGATATTCCTTGTTGTAGAACCCCGATGATTGTTGATGGCAATGTCAAGACCACGACGGTGAGCATTATTTTCATCATCATCATCCACATGACATGATCCTGACAACACCGCGCTCGGAAGTGTTGGACCAGAATTATGTTTTTTGCCAAAATCTTCGTTAGTCGATCTACTTCCGCATGGTTCATGACTCGTGGTGGTGGCAACACTATCATCCATTGTTGGTTGTGTTGCTGATGATGACATTTTTTTTAATTTGGTTCTTTGGCAGAGAGGATGACTTTGAAATTTCTTTTTTTGGTCCATTTGAATATTCATGTACCTGGAATATATCAAGAAACATGTCATGATTGTGTCCACCAAAAACCAACAACAACACCATCTACGAAATTGAATTCCACTTGAACCAAGTATGATGAAGATGGAACTCCATCTGCAATTTTTGCATTAATTTTTCATTTTGCAAAACTGAAGTTTTGCCTTACAACAATTTTTTGCAACTTGTCACAAGCTCAAACACAAAGCCCATCACTGTGCCATCATGATGCAACAACCATTCAAAAAAAACACATCCTTGTACATCCACAGTGTCCTTGCTTTGAAAGCTCCATGAAGAGAAAGAACAGTGACTCGTCTCAAAGTCCATCACAAGTTTCCCAATCCAATGAAAGTGAGGAAACACATGATAGGACTTGCAATTTTCACTACCTTGGTGTTCACTCATACGCAACCGCAAAAGATGTCGACAGCTCCGAGTTGTCAAGACAATTACTCGATTGTTTGAATCAGGAAAAAGATGAAAACCAGACCATCCATGTTGGAAGTTGGGGAAACAATCTAGGAAGATGGAAACTTGAGATCTCACTTACAAAAATTGAAACCATCCTTACAGGTTTCGATCCAAAAGCTGATACTCACAAATTCTATTATCTTTTTCTCTTCAAGCAAGGTTGTCCTCATTTAATGGAACCAGGAAGAATGGAAGGAAATGTTAAAGTACCTGACAACTTGCTCGAATGGGATGGAAAGTTTAGCAAATTACGATCCAATCAAACCGTAGCTAAACATTGCAAAAAGCAAAATGGAGAGTTCCATATTGTACTTTTCATTCAACCAAAGAATTCTGCAGAGAATGGTCACTATCTGATTAGTAAGGAAACTTTCATCGCTGACACTTCTTCGTCAAAGAAACGAAAATCAGATGCGTCATCGACCGACGACGAAGCAAGCACTCATTCCAGTACTGGAGATTCTCAAACTTTACTTCAGATCGAACCAAGTTCAACAACCACAATTACCATATCAATGCATGGCTACTTGGAATTGAAAAAGAAGATCGAACACTTGGAGGAACAGATTCAAGACATCAAGAAGTCTATCGATCAATTCATTCAAGTCAAGGAAGCCTCTCCGAATGAATCGTAATACCCCATCCCTTTGTTTGTCAATAAATCTTTTTGAAAAATTCGAACTCGTCAAACTGAAATCCAACAAAATTGGGAATTCCCAACTCGTGATCACGTCAACGTGGGGACAATCAATTAATCTGAACCACAAAACAGATACTTATTTCCATCTAACATACATTCATACAACCATGAAAGTTATATTCTAATGAGCTAGGGAGCGAGTGATCAATCAGCAACCATTACATACAAAATTGGTTTGGATGTGGAAAACTGTAACTCTCCGATTACTGGCTTCCCTGCCTCAGAGTGGACAGTTGGAAACATCCTTCTTTTTTATATATCGATCGTAGTGTTTGATGATGAGTCTTTCAACTTGTCGATCATCGAGCTTACCAACACGTGTTTTATTAAAATCATTAAATAATTAGTTAAAGCAGAAAAAAAATGTATTCTTGGACGAGTCGTTTGAGTAGTGTGCTCACGGACGCCATTTCGATATTGGGGTTGATGGCTATTTGTTTTGGGGTCTCTTCGTATTTCTTGGCTGCTCGGCCGCAAGATGTAAACGTTCGGGTTGAGGTTACAAATATGTTTAAATTGTAAGTCAAGAAATTAATGATGATCGTATTCGGAATGAGACGATGATTGATTCCATATCTGATATTTCAATAATTATTTGTTTTGAATTGGATAATAATAACGTTCATCGAATACCAATAATATTGATGATATTATGATTGATAATTACTCACCATTTATTGCGAACCAAATTTTCGGAAATTTCATCATCATGAAATTATTTTCGCAATATAGCAACAAGTTGGATTTCAGGCCATACTACAATCCTGATAGGGCCTCATTTGAATTTAAGCTTGATGCTGATCTCACTCCAATTTTTAATTGGAACGTTAAAGTTTTGTTTTGCATGCTTTACGCTGAATATTCAACACCGTCTCATGAGTTGAATCAAGTCATGCTATGGGACAAAATCATTGAAAGAAGTGATGTCCTCGAAGGAAAAGCAGACACACACTTGATTTATGATCGTTTGAAAGGAAAATATTCCTTAATAGACTATGGCAATGAGCTTCGAGACAGTAATGTCACACTGAAATTTCGATGGAATGTCACTCCATACGTAGGCTTGTCATACGATCAAGAAGTGATTGTTGGAGAATTTAAATTACCAAAGCAATACAAAAAATATCATCGATCAGACTATGACAAGATTGTTTATGATGAGACCTTTGATCCTAGAATGAACTATGGAGCTCTCGAAAATTAAGAGTTGGTTGAACATCGACAATTTAACTTGTGAACTCGTCTACCCTTAATAATTACATAAATTATCTTCCTATTGTCTTAATGAACAGCTGTATTCCAGAACTTGTGTCACCGTCAATTCTCCCAGATTCCTTTATAACCATTCGTTGTCACATTGTTTATCTAATACTAAACTGAACAAAGTTCTAACAGGGAAGGTGGATGTTTATGACATTAACGATTTCAAACGACCCATTGGGCTTTTTATTCAACGTCAAAATTTTTTTGTTCCCACCTTTTAATTAAGAGAGACAAGCAACAAAGACCATGTCAAACAGCGACACATTTTTGGGCTGGCATTGAATTCACATAATGAGTACAATGACCATCGACGCATTACTACAAATAGATCCGAATTAAACTCTACCAAAACCACCAAAAACAAAGAAAAATGGCCTCTGTAAGCAAACTATTGCTTGGTTGTACATTAGTGGTGACAGTTGTTGCTCTCATACTTGCACACCTGACACTCAGCAAAGAGATTCGCTTGAAGGATTTGAAAAAACTCTCTCGCCCAATTAAGAAGGCATGTTATTCGTATGACGGTATCGGAGTGAATCCAAAACATCCAACATTTGGTCAACAGGCCAATCATTCCCAAGATTGACTGGTGCAGCTTACACGGACGGCGTGAGGGTTCCTCCACGTCAAAAGCATTCTGCTAGAGAACTCAGTAACGTGTTTTGTAAACAAGAGAAGTGCGACACTAGCAACAAGTTTGGTGTTAGTGCCATGTTCTATGCTTTTGCTCAATTCATTGACCACGATATTGACTCCATGGCTTTAGGAAGAAACAGTGAAACGTTCCCAATTCCTGTGCCACCAGGTGACAGATTTTCAACACCAACCATTCCTTTCACAAGAGGTACCTTCTCTTCAGAAAAGACTATTTTCATTGGACAACCAGTCAATCAAGTGAACGTTATTACTGGTTACATGGACTGTTCTCAAATTTATGCCAGTGACCCAATTAAGGCCAAAGCACTGCGTACTTTGGAAGGAGGATTATTGAAAGTGAACAATGTCTTTGGTGAAGAATTCCTTCCAAATTCATTCCCTCACACCAATGGCAAATTCTTCTCAGGCGGTGGAAATAACAGTATTATTGCTGGAGATGATCGTGTCACTGAGTCATTGCCAATCACCATCATGCAAACCCTCTTCCTTAGAGAGCACAACAGATTGGCTCGCCTTGTAAGAAAGAGATTCAAAATTTGCAAGAAGAGTGCCAAAAAGAAGCATGTCGACGAGTACATTTACCAAACTGCTAGATCTATCAATTGCGCTCAAATTCAGTCCATTACCTATCGTGAATTTCTTTCTAAATTGTTGGGTAATAGCAAAATTAATCCTTACAAGTTGAAATTTAATCCAGATATCGATGTGACACCATCTAACGAATTTGCCACCGCTGCTTACAGGTAAGTACTAATATTGGAATAATTTCGTGATATGAGACTTCACAACAATTTGGGAACAATTTCACAAACTAAACTCTGAATAGATTCGGCCACTCACTCGTGTCCTGTCAGCTTCATAGAATCGATGACAAGGGTAATGAAAAGGATCCTGTTGAATTTAAGGATGCATTCAACGCTTTTAGAAGACTTACCAACACTCAAGGCGAACTCGAGATGATTACCAGAGGTTTGTGTATCCAGCCGTCACAAAATCTTGATGAAAAGATTGCTGATGGGCTTAGAGATTTCTTGTTTGGTCCCAATGTTCGTTTGGATCTAGCTGCGAATAACATTCAACGAGGACGTGATGCAGGTCTTCCATCCTTCAACGACATGAGAAAGAGTTTAGGCCTCCAGCCACTCACAGCCTCTGACATGGCGTCAAATGCTGAACTCCGTGAAAAGCTTGTCAAATACTTTGGAGAGGATTTGAAGGATCTCGATCCATGGTTGGGTATGCTTATTGAGCCAAAGAAAGGAAATTCTCAACTCGGTAGCTTGGGCACCAAGATTATTAAGGATCAATTTGAAGCATTTGTGAAGGGAGACCCATGTTTCTACTCTCACCAAAGACAAGCATGGATGAAGAAAGTCAGAAAAGCCGTTGACCGTGTAACACTCTCTGATATCATTGCTGCCAATACCAAAATCTCAAGAAATGACAAGGCCCTCTCTAGATCTGCTTTTGAAAACAAGGTTTAAGAGGATCCATAAACAACATTCTTGTAAATAACGAAGAAAAAGAAGGAGAGAAGAACTCTCCGAAAACAACATCTTCAAATACAAAATAATTCAATTCAAATTGTTGTTTCTCTTGTTGATAAGGTCCACCGAGAAGTGGCAGAAAAAATTCGCGTTACCTATGAGTCCGTTCTAACACGGATGTCTTTAGTAAAAGGCGAAAGACATTGGTTACTTATAAGAACGGTGAGGTAACTGTTTGGGTTGAGAGAGGATGGTGAGTATTAGATAAAGGCTCATTTTTTTAAAGAATTAAGCCTCATGTATTATGGTTGCGAATTGAATTTTTGGGTGCTTGGTTTTAAATTCATTGAATAGGGAGAGAGTATTATTTATGGTATTCGTTGGAGGTTAGGGTTCAAGGACAACATACATCGCCATTCTTTTCGTCAAGATTTATTTGGTAATGTGGTTGCACTTTGTCATTCACTCGTTGTTGTGAAATATCTAAAGAAAAGGATGACACGTCATGGGAAGGTTATCCACAACAGAGAAAAAATTGTTGTAACTTGTCTTGCTTCGGAACAGCACAGAATCGATTTTATCTTGATTCCAAACGCACAGCACAATAGATCCGATACAGAAAGTATTTGAAATAGATTTTAATCTCAACACTAGTGATTAATTGGTTACACACAATAACACAATACATTCATTTAGGGTAGAAACAAGTCATACAATCTGAGTATACTCATCATGAAGAGTCGACAATTCTATGGAACTGCGGCTTTACTGCTCCTACTTTTCTTGGTACCATTCATCCTGGATGGCATGAATCAATCTTATCAAATAACAAGTGGACTTCTTTCCTTCTCATCTTCATCATCGGGAGCAATTTCTCAATCCATTCCAACAACAACCATATTTGTAGAGGCTCAAAGAAGACGAAGAAGAAGATTAAACCTTGAGAAAAAGGCAAAGACTCGCCGTAGCAGTCGTGAGCCTGACTATGGGATGATGATGATGACGATGATGACGATGAAGACAATTACAATTACAGAAAACCAAAACAACAACAACAACCTCCATCACCACCACCACAGCAACAACAAGAAGACGATGATGAACGAAATGGAGATTTTGATAACAATAGTTCTTCGGGTGGTAACAGAGAATTTGCTGAAAAACACTCATTCAAGCCTCCTTTCCTTTACGGAGGACAACAAGGCATTCCATACTGGGAATACGGAGGAAGTGCTATTGCTACTGAAAATTACATTCGGGTTGTTCCAAATATTAAATCACGAACTGGTTACATTTGGAATGTGGAGCCAGTTCATATGAAGAGTTGGCAAGTTGAATTGGATTTCCTCATTCACAATACTCACAATCCTGGTGCTGATGGTTTAGCTTTTTGGTATGCAAGAGAGCCAATGAAAACTGGTACCTTGATGGGTTATACGGAAAGTTTTGATGGTTTGGGCATCTTGTTTGATACCTATGATAACAACATGGATGGAGACAATCCAGCTGTGATTGCAATTATGAATCATGGATCTCCAATGAAGCTTGACGTGGATAATGATTTTAGAGCCAACCAATTGGATCGTTGTCGAGCAGATTTCAGAAATCCAACACATGGTAGAACTACGGCTCGTATTACTTATCAAAATAGAGTATTGAGTGTTTATATGGATACTACAAGCACTGGACAATTTACCAAATGTTTCGAAATTAATAATGTACACTTGAAGGATGGATACTATTTCGGTATCACTGCTGCCACTGGAGGTTTGGCTGATAATCATGACGTGCACAGCTTCTTGACCTACGATCTTGCTTCTGAGCCACACAAAGAGGCACCAGAATCTCACCATCACAGAGGCTGGTACGATCCTTATGAAGAATTCCAAAAGTACCTCGAAAAACAAAAGAAGGAGGAAGAAATTTTGAAAAACTCTCAAAATGAGCCGCAACAGGATCATCATGATAATACTGATTCTCACAGCCATACTAGTAACACTTTGCAACATGATGTAACTGCTGAGCTTGAAAAGAAGAAGAAGGAGGAAGAGGATACCTGGGCACAAGAGCAACAACTTTTCAATGATCTCAAGGAAAAGATGAAGCACGTCGATGAACCACACCAAGAAGCAGCTCAAACTAAGCAACAACAAAAACCAGGTGACACTGCTCAACCACCTGTTCAACATCATGAAGGAGGTGCTGTCACTTTTAACATGCAAACTGGATTGCTTATTTTGGAAGCGTTAGAAGAGGTTGCAAGAACTATTAAGAAGTCTTCTACAAAGAGTGACATTATTAATGTAAGTATTTTTGCTTGTGATGGTACTAATAATTCTTGGTTAAATATTTTACCTTTTAGATTTTGGAGTTTGTGAGTGAGGTTTCTAAAAAACAGGAAGAGGTGCAAAGAAAATTCACAGAATTTAGTGAAGACACAAAGAAGGATGTGGCTGTGACTTTGGCAGAGTTGAAGAGAGATACTGATACATTGAACAGTCAACTTAGAAGATTGGACTCACTCATCACCAACATTTACAATGATGTTGGAAACATTCAACGCTCCCATGGTGACATTCAACAAGGAATCTCTAAACAATCAGAGTCGTTGGGAGAAATGCAAAGATTTAGTAATGGCTGGCTATTAGTCATTTTCATCTTCTTCCAAATTGTGTTTGCCATTGGTTTTATTTATTACAGAAAGTTCCAAGAAAGCAAGTCTAAATTTTATTAGACTTGGTTGCTTTCATGTTCACGACTAAGGAATTCTTAGTTTTCACCTCATAACATCCCACTCCATCAATTTCTTGATTAAAAATTAAAAATATTTAATAAAATTTTGTCGTCATATTTACTACGAATGAGGTCCATCAATTTAAAGCTCTAGCTCATCAAATTCAGTCCACACTTTCACATTTAACCTTCTCAATAGCCTTGAAATAAATCTCACAGCGGGTTTGATAATATAATGCAGTTCGCTGCTATAAAATACAATGGCAAGCATTAGCACAATGATGAATAAAGCAACGTGTAAACTAGGAATTAAACCAGCAACAACGTCCTTTCTCTCAACATCTGGTGGAAGGAGTGTTGACACGGAGAGACGAGATGATTTTCTTTTTTCAGAGACAGATTGTGGTGTTAAAAGTGGTTCATATCCACTAATTCTTCTCAATCGACTGCTTCGAGTTGAAAAAGTTGATGTAACAGAACCAGTAGGTGATAACACAGCAGTCCTTATGAAAGAATCCTCCAATCCTCCACTGTATATTGATTTAGTTCTAGAAGTGTCAAGTCGAGTGTCATCATCATGATGATATAATTCATTCTCAAATCTCTCTTCGTCTTCATGATGGTCATCATCATACTTATCTTCGGGATAGTCCTGATAATCAAGAATATCTTCATTAGAATCCTCTTCAAATGGGTCTTTAGGAATACCAAAAGGATCTTCATCATAAACAATCATTTGGTCATCATGACTCGTATGTAATTCGTCTTGATAGTCCTGCGAGTCCTTGTACTCGGCTGCTGTAATAAATTTTTGTTCATTCCGTAAATTATAGAAGGGTGAGCTCGGTGATCTCACTTCCTCATCGTCATTGGTCATCGTAGAGGTTGCTGCCGATAGTGTGGAAACATCATGATAGACTTGTGAGGCCATGGCTGTTATAATATTTTTTTGTTGGATTAAATTTTTAAAAAAGGCGCCACAAAGAAGATTTAGTCCGGTAATTCAAGGCATAAGAGAAAACTTTGGCAGCAACAACTTAAATATTTTGACAACAAGTCCTTACCTCCTTAGGTATTAATTGATGGAAATTTTCAAATTTGCTCTAACAGTTGAACAAATTACCAACATCTCCATAATACATGTCTTGAAATAGCTCTCTTAATGTAATTTCTTTAACATAAATCTTGAGCTGTTTGATTTTGGCAGAGTTGAAGGGAATCTTTAGGAGCAGTTTTACCTTTCTGTCGTCCGTAACTAGTTGTTTATCTTCCTGCAAGTTTGTTATCAAGACTGGTACGTGTATTTTGTCATTGCCAAATTGTTTAAAGTATTCATCCTTGATGACTTGTAATGCTTTCCCATAATTATTTCCCCAATGCCTTTGCATAATTAAAAAGTGGGCAATAGGATGTACTTTTATGTGAAGCAATCGATATTCTTCTTCATTGGTCATCTGATAACAGAGAATGGCATCTTTAACAGAGAATTCTTGCCACTGTGAAATATACTCAGCCAAATCCTTTCCATAACGGTCAACGGAGCAGTTAGAAGGTTTTAGATCAAAGACATCAATAAATAGTTCAGTCAGGCTCTTTGTTGCATCTAAACTCAACAAAGAATTATTCCAGCACTCTAAATATGCTCGTTTAAGGAAGGGTAAAATCTTATCCTTTGGTAAATATTCACTACACATTCTGTAATAGAATTTTAGTTTTCTTTCTAATGCAGGAATATTATTATACAATCTTTTCACTACAGATACGAAAGGTTGTTGTTCATGGAGAAAATTTTTGAGCAGCTTAATTGTTGATTTACCATGTCGTAGGAAAACTGAATGACATAGTCGTAATAAATCTAGAACTGCATTATCATTTTCTTCACAGTGTATTGCTTTCATTTCGGGAATAATGTAAGGTAATGCTAATGGAGCTGAATAGTAGGAAAAAAGAATTGACATTTTCATTGTCACGTCTTCCAATCGACAAAATGCTGCCGCAATATTGGGATCCAAGTAATAATATTGAGAAATATAAGAAAAAATTTGCAATTTCCTTTCAGTAGAACAATTGAACCTTTGTTGTTGAGATTCTCTAAACTTGAGCAAAATGGTATAATTATCTAACAAATTTACATGAATGCATGTCCGTTGTTCCTCTAGAACCCAAAGGAACAAATATAAATCTGAAAATTCTTCCACTTGCATGATCGTTTCAATAGTGAGTTCAATGAACTTTTCTATCCTTGTTGAGAGAGACATTTTTCTAAAATGCCCACAAAGCATTAAGAATAATTTTTCAATAGCTTTCTGAAAAGTAATCATTCTGCATTCAAGATTTCGTTCATGTTCTTCAAATTGGGAAATAAAATTGCAAGTGCATTTCAGTAGCGTTATTATCTTATGTAACACATTTTTCTTTGGAAGGATACTCTGATCTAGAAACAGTTGCTGTAAATAATGTGATTTTGTCTTTGATTCATCGTCGTCAAGTTTTAACGACAACAAATAATTCCAATAATTTGAGAAATATGTTGTATGAAGATCAATAGTTGAACCAAATCGAATCATTTTCTCATTTTGAAAATATTCATTTCTCTTAAAAAATTCATACTGTTCCAATGCTTTCCAAACATGATTACTGTGATCGTTGTGCTGATTATTGATTTTCCATAATCGTTTTTGAATGTCAGTATGTATTTGTTGTCGTATCAAAGAAATCAAAGATGTAACAACTTTTTTAACAAAACAAATGTTGTTTTCACCTTGTATATTCATTGAATTCAATTTCTTCTCATTGTTGTCAATGATTGTTAAGAAATCATTGCGCTGTTGTGTTTTTTGGAACAATAATCCTTTCAACATGCTATTGCAAGACAATAATTTTCTCATCTCGTTTCTATTAAAAAAGAATTTTCTATAAAAAGAATCCACCTTCTTAAATTCCTTTGTGATATTTTGTCTCTCATTGCCGCAGGTTTTGTTGTCGGAATCATTATTGGATGATAAAATCAAGCAAAATAAGCCTGCCAATTGGCGCTCCCAAAATATTTCATTTTGATCCGTTATTTCTTTCCAATGATGGTTGATCTGAAATAAATTCACAAGATCCTGAGGTTGTAAAATCAATAAATCAGTCATATGGAGAACTATATCGATCGGAATGTTGTTCATTTTTTTGTTGGGTTTTCTAATTTGCACTGAGTGTATAATTGTTGCAGCTGCATTTTTTTTGATGATCAGTTTAGTAGTCCTTTTGAATCCTTAAAAACTCAATCAACAAACGATAACAGTGCTGCATTTTGATTTATGATTGTAATAAAAGCTGTATTGGGGTCAAAGACACCACAACCGCCAGAAAATTACAAAAAAATATATTCACTATCAACCCCTATCTCTAAAGAACAACAGCCAGCTCATTGGAAAACTAAAAGATGACTCCAAGGGACATGTATTTCAAAAAAAGTGATCCTATCAAAAAACTTGACCCTCATAATCAAGCTCTAAATATGATGACCCAATCGATCGCTCGGAATGGACTCACTCCATCCTCTCAACTAACGATGGATGAACAGTTACAAGCTGCTCATTTCTCTCTCGAAAGCGGACTGTATGTTGTGTGGAGAACCCGGAGTAAGGCATCCTGCTTGCCTCAAAACTCGTTTAGAGATTGTTCAAGAGTTGCTCTCAACTCTTTGTGCTTTTGTGGACATACCTTGAAAGATCACTTGATAAACAATAAGATTACCAATTGCTCTTCATGCAAGGGATGTAAAATGTTTGAATTTATACCTACACGACCTGCTGAAACTGGTGAATTTTGGTTAGAGCGACGAAGAGATTGTAAGTAAAAGTGTGATTTGTCCCAAATCAACAATCACATTTATCAAGTTGATCTACAGAAATACGAAGTGAAATGCAAATGCAAACACTCGTTCAGAGATCACAAATGTCCAAGCAAGCGATGTACGGCAACCTCATGCAAATGTCAATGTTTTACCAGCTCATTTCTTTGTGTGGTTTGCAATGAACATTGGGAGGAGCACGATACCGTTGTTGAAACAAAAGAAGAGCGTCTTCGACAACATCTACCTGTGGACAAGGATTACATACCGTTTTCAGAGACGCCAACACTACAAAAAGCGGTTTTTAAATGAGAATGTTTGTTATTAAGAAAACAAAGTTCACATTAGATTTTCCAAATTGCACTCAAAGATGAACTATTTATTGTTAAAAAAGACAGCAACCACGATACCTACGATAAAAAATGATTTCTAGTGCATCATCAAGCAGCAACATGGAACAAGAAAGTATTTCCTTTAAAGTGATCTTGGATGGATTAATTCTAATCACTTCGTACAGAGAAGATTACGATTTTCAGCAAGAGTTAATTGATTATTGTATAAGAGCATTAAAGGGAGAGGAGAACTCGATTAACGGTGTAGAAGAGTTGCCTTCACTTGAAACTCCATTCTTCAAATGCTTTTTGGATATTCCTTTTGAAAGTTTTAGAGAAGATTTAATCGACAAGTGGTGTCACACTCCTCTGGCTGCTGCCAAAGACGCATCTCCAATTTTAAAACAATGCGAAGACAAATTTAAAATTGTTCAATTATGCTACTATACGACTAAGGGAAAACTAGGATGGCACAGAGACAGAATTTCTGGATTGACAGAGGAAGAACAAGCGCAATTAACAAGTCCAGTTGTCTCCATATCGCTAGGAAATGATTGCATTTTCAGCTACAAAGTGAATGGGTACAAGGATGTCGAGCATGACTTGCATTTAAAATCAGGAGATATTTTAATATTTAGTGGGCCACAACGAATGATGTGGCATACAGTAAAAAAGGTGTTTTGCAACGATACAAGACCTAAGACGTTAAATATGAGAGGTTTGGAAGGTAGGATCAATGTGACCTTTAGAGAAGGAACATACTATCCAGACAATAGCTCTCCTAACGTCAGCAATACTTTGCAATAAAAGTAGAGCTCTCCCAAGATAACATTCTTTGGCAATGCTATCATCGTTTCCTGCCTTGAGTCAAAACCAATTCTGAAAGTTCATGAAAATCCTCCGTTTCACATCCAAAAAATCAAACCCAACACAATGCTTCTCCAGCCGACTTTACCAACACTCGGAGCTCGTTTTCCCATCGCGACAATCATCGTGATGGCATTGTTGATGATAACCACATTACTGGCGCCGCTCCTCCTCACCGAAATTCATGGAAATGATGAAATCATCATGAATCATCAACAACGTCTTGCTTCTTTAATCGATCAATTAAAGCGAGCCGCACGAAATCATCATCATGAGCCTCCTTCCACATCTTTTAGCCCATCATCATCCAATGCTCCTTTTCCATCCATTGATTTCATATATAATGTAACTTCTCTCGGAGTCTTGAAAGGAAAACGAAGTCCCACTCTCAACTTCCGATCCTTTAAAAACGTTCCATACGCACAGGCACCTGTTGGTTCTCTACGATGGAATGATCCAATACCTGTTTCTACTCCATTTCAAGGAGTGTTAGATTCAACTGAATTTGGTCCACAATGTCCACAGAATTGTTTATTACCAAAAGGTTTATGTGCAGAGACAATGAGTGAGGATTGTTTGAGTCTCAATGTCTACACACCTGACCAAATGGATAACAGCAATGGAAGTTTACCTGTCATGGTTTTCTTTCCGGGTGGTCATTTTGATATGGGTAGGTTGTGAAATTATCATGATGAATTACTGAGCTTGTTATTGTCAATATGATTAATGAATGAATCGATTGATAATAATAATATTATTATTATTATTATTCGTTAATCATACATGCAAATCATGAACACCCCGTCATGATTTTTGAACTGATGATTTAATTCAAATTTTTATGTTCAAATATGTCACGTAATGTATTGTGGACATCTATATTAATTTTAAAAGGAACTGCTAATTGTCAACTCTACGATGGTGGATATTTCGTTGGAAAGACCAATGTCATTCTAGTTACTGTTAATTATCGTTTGGGAGCATTTGGATATCTAGTTGATTCCAAGAATGGTATCAGAGGTAATTTTGCTCTTAAAGATCAAAGACTGGCATTGAAATGGGTTCAGAAATTTATTTCAGCATTTGGAGGCAATCCAAACTCTGTGACCATTTTTGGAGAGTCAGCAGGAGCTGGAAGTGTCACTGCATTATTAATGAATAAGGAAAGTTGGCCTCTTTTCCACAAAGCCATTCTTCAATCCAATCCATTATCACTTCCATTTCGAGACATTTCGAGTAGTGATCTTTTGGGCAATCGTTTCATTACTGAAAGCGGATGTTATAAATCTGAAAACACACTTCAATGCATTAGAAATATGAAATGGCAAGATGTTGTGAGCATTGGAGACTCTGCAAGCAATCATTTAAATATTTGGCATCCAATCATTTCATTCATGCCATGGACTCCTTGTCTCGACGGTAAAGAATTATTTGAACAACCCTTAGATGCTTTCAAAAATGGTAATTATGCCAAAGTTCCAATGATTATGGGAACCCTGTCAGAAGAAGCCATCATGTTTGTATATTTGGCACTTTCCAATCCTCTTCCTTTCTACGAGTACGATGGTGCCTTAATTGCTTTATTTGGATTATTCCATTACTCAAAAGTTCATTCCTTATATCCTCCAAGTGGCAGTGATCAACGTGTGGAATTTTCCATTCTCGGAACGGATTATATTTTCACAGCACCCACACGAAATGCACTCATGAATATTCACAATCATCAACCAAACATTCCCGTCTATTTATTTGAATTCAATCATACACTCTCATTTAGCACCGAAGCATGGATGCCACGATATCCTTTCTGTATTGGTCATGTCTGTCATGGTTCTGAACTTCCAATATTATTTCACACTTCAGAATTATTGAATTTACCATTAACACCACAAGAAGAAGAGTTGTCAGCTGCCATGATGAATTATTGGACAAATTTTGCTAAAACTTCAAATCCAAATCTTTCATCGACCAAGTCCTCCACCCTTAATGTTCCAACCTATTGGGAACGTTTCACTCCTTCTAATTTATTGAATATGGAGCTTCAAACTCCAAATGTATTTATGAATTATGGACTTCGAAAACAGAAATTAGACATGTTTGATTCCATTGGATATCATCATGGATATTAAACGCGATCATGTTGACTGCCAGTTGATCAAATGTTTTGGAAGAGAAAGTTGAAGAAAGTTTCCATTGTATTGATTTTTGTAACAATTTAAAGAACTGTAAACAACTTTCGGAATTCTGGATCTATTAACAAATTGACGCGTGGATACAATCAAAAACAGAGCACTACTATTGTGGAAAAGGTTTTCGTTTTAAATCACCCTCAGCGAGCGTCATGTTCTCAGTTCAAGCATTCCAGCCCACAAAGCAGCTGTCAATTATCAAATCAGAACTCGGAACTTTTCGCGTCAAAACGAAAAGCCAAAAAAATTTTTTAAAAGAAAACTCTACTGAAGCACTCGAACACAGAGTCTCTTCAACCAAACAAAGCCTTCATCGTATTCCAACAAACATTTCTTTTGAATTCAAAGAAAAACAACTCTTCAAACACCAACAACAACAAAATGGATACTTCTATAAAGTGTGTCGTCGTAGGAGATGGAGCAGTGGGAAAGACTTGTTTATTAATCTCGTAAGTGTTGTTGTACTATGACTGTTATTGTTGATGATGATGAATGAAATGTATTTAAATGATTGATGATGTAACTCTTGAATTGTTGATTGGGTGTTGATGCGATAAATAATTCATTTGACTTTTCGAAATGTGTGATGATGATAAAATTTAACTCGTGTGGTGATGGCATTCTGACACGATGATGCGCTCACTTTTTGTGAATAGATTCTCGTCGAATACATTCCCAGAGGACTATGTGCCAACAGTGTTTGATAACTATGTAAGTATTTGAAAATAGCAGTTGCGAATGGGTTGTTGACCGTAGAGCTATTCACTTGTTGTGTCAATAATAGTCGGCAAACGTTATGTATAAGAACACGACTGTCTCATTGGGTTTGTGGGATACTGCTGGTCAAGATGAGTAAGTACTCACATTAGAGTTTAATATTGATGAACATATTTGACATTTGACACTTGTTCAACCCGTATGTTGTCAAACAACAACAACAGCTATGATCGCTTGAGGCCATTGTCATACCCAGATGCTCAAGTCTTTCTTGTTTGCTTCTCTGTTGTCAACCACACAAGTTTAATGAATGTAAAAGCCAAATGGGTTCCCGAAGTTAGACATGTAAGTATTCAAAAGGTTTTGTCGAACTCTCAAGCGTTCGAACATTTGGTTCGAAATGTTATTTGATGAATGGTACTTTCTTGTTACGTGTGTCATCAACTACACCATACCTTTCAACAAATTTATGGACCTATCTACCTGTCTCGTTGATGTGTCTCATCGAACGAAATTTCCATCTCATCTTCGTACTTCCATTACGTTCGCAACAACAACAAAATAATATTAACCGCATTCTTGTTTGGGAAACAACAACAACAATATGAACAAATATCATGTCTGTTTCATCATCACATGTGAAAACAGCACTGTCCAAAAGTTCCAATTGTTCTTGCAGGTACAAAGTGTGATCTTCGTAAAGACAAGGACTATATTCAACGAGAGGGATTACAAGTAGTGAGCCCAGATGAAGGACAACGAGTTGCTAAAGAAGTAGGAGCTCAATATTATTCGGAATGCTCAGCAAAATCTCAAGAGGGATTGAAGGAAACTTTCAACTATGTTATTGAATGTGTTTTGGATCCAAAGTCTCCTGATGTCGGTAAAAAGAACGAGAAGAAGGGAAAGTGTAAACTCGCAGCACGAAAGAACAGTTTGAATTGTTGGCAATTATATACGTCAATAATTATTTCACATGAATTTACTTGTATATTACCCTTCCTCTCTAACCCTCTCAGAGTTGCTAAGCTATGCAATTTTTAGTAATTAATAAAATTACACATATTCCTCAGATCATGGAAGTGTCAAGAATGGACTGAAACTGGAATGAAATGAACTTTATTTCACCTCTGTGTGTATACCGTTTTATTAGCAGGAAGAATCAATTGATTCACAAACGACGACATGACAAATTTGTGTTCCACAAAGGCCTTCTTCTTTTTTGCTTTTTGATTCTTGGATATCCAAGTCGAAGAAGGCTGACAAGAGATACACGAAACTGAATTTGAGGCAAACGCGTTCTGGATCAATTTCCATTCATGAGCAAGAATGTCCTTTTCCTCTCTCATCTCTGAATTCATGATAAAGGAAAGGCTCATTGGATATATTTGGGGAAAGCATTTCAAATGACGAATGTCCTTAAAGAATTGAGGCCAAGTTTCAATACCAATTTCATCTTTGAGGGCATAGAACCTCCTTTTCAGAGTGGATAGACTACATCTGATATCAAGTTTATGCCTGTCTGTGAACATGCAAAACATGATATACATGAAGAGCAATTACTTACTTTAAAACAGCAGAGGCTTGTGTTTGAGGCATATGAAGCACTTCAAGCATGTGTTTCTTTTCAATTTTAATTCCTCGTTCTTTCTGTATCGTGGACGGGAATGGCGAATGATCATTGAGGGACGTTATCGAGCTGTTTGAGGATGATTGCAATGAAGAGAAGGAAGAACTGGAGCTGGGAGAAGATAAACTTGCAGGTTGAACATTCAGTAGATTTGGTACCAATTCCGTTGATAATTCTTTCGTAGGATCATTGGAATGGAACATCACAGCAGGACGAGCCATTCGGGTGGAATTAGGTTGTATATTAAAGTAAGGAATGGGTGCATCCCGGGTAGGCATGGTCAAGTCTTCTCACATTGCAAGAATCGTTCATTATTTGGTTGTGGATCATGAACCATCGTACGGAGTGAAGATCAATGAAACGTACCAAAATATTCCTAATCCAAATACGAGAGAGAGATCAAGATATTTCTTTTGAGCGTGATGAGGTGGTTGATGTTCTACCTCCCTTCCAGGGTGTCAGTAATTTAACCATTCTAAGGCCGAGGTGGAGAATTGTTGAATTATCTAGTATCGACTTTTAGAAATAAATTTACATTTTGGGTTTTTAAAGAAAATCTGGATTTGTGGAAGTGGCGAATTTGTTCGTGCTATTTGAGCGCTTTATCCGGAGAAATGAACGATTTTTTCAGCAATCCTGATGCAAAACACTTTCGAGTGAACGACCTGTTGAAAGAAAAAGACATGAACGTAACTGTAGTTGTTGATGTGGCATGAACGATTGAACGAGAGACGTTTCTTGAGTGGCAAAACATTAGCGCACTAGATCGGAAAGCATTTTCACTCCGGGCACCTTATTTGACGTTTGAGGTCAAAGATGGACTTTGAAATCTGCCAGGCACCGACTGAAAAGGGATGTCAAACCTTGTGATTCCATCTATGGATTGTATTGCAAGAACGAACCGTCCTCGTTATTCATCACCATGATAATCATCTGTGTTTAAGATGTTTGTTTGCACAGATCATGTATTGTATTTTATGATCTCTTAGATTTTGACTGAACCGTTCCACCTTCCAATCTCGATGTCTTCCTTAGACTCCAAGATTTTGATCGAATGAAACTCTACGCCAATCATTTTGGTTCCGTTCATTCATTCGGACAAAATTTTCAACGTTTTGCTAATAAAACAACACCACAGCACGAAATTCGAAATTTTCCACAATCAAAAAATGTCATCTGCCCATCCAAGCAACACTCATCAATTCGCTCTCTTTGAAACTGCTCATCACACCAATTTGTATTCAAAATTTAGACCCACCTATCCTGCCTCTCTGTACGATGAAAAGATCATGCCCAAGATTTCATCCATTCCATCCGAAAAGCTTGTCATTCTTGATTTGGCATGTGGCAGTGGACAGGCAACCTATGATCTATGTCAAAGAAATTGTAAATTAATTATCGGAATTGATCCCAGTTTGAATCAAATTGCAAATGCTTTGAATCATCCTCGTAAGAGTTCAGTTCCTTCCGATTGCAAAGTTTTCTTTGAAGTTGCTGCTGCTGAAGATTTGGATCAAATTGTAGAAAAGTACAAGACCGAATTATTGGATGGAAATCAACAAGATACGAACGATGGAGTGTTTGATCTTATTACAGTGGCTCAGGGTGTGCATTGGTTTCATTTTGAGAAGGTTTTTGAGCTTGTGAAAAAGTACTTGAAACGAGGAGGTGTGTTTTGTGCATGGGGATATGTTTCGAATGTGTTCGAGAATGAACAAGCACAACAGATATTTGAGGAATTTTACAATGGAGAAGAATTAAGGTAAGTCTCATCCTATTCCATGGAGTGTCATTATTGGTTCACACCCGTGTGAAATAATTTCACAGAGAGTTTTGGTCCGAACGAAGACGATATCTCGATGAAGCCTATAAAACCATTCCTCACATTCCATTTCCTGAGAATATCGTATATGAAACACATTGGGACAAGTCCAAAATATCACTCTCGAATTATATTGGATATTTAAATACATGGAGTGCTGTGAATGCGTATGGAGAGAAGTATGGCATGATTGAACGTGAGCAGTTATTAAATGATCATAAATTGAAAATGATGCGTGTATTGGGATTGAAGGATGATGAGGATCTTATCGATTTCAATTTGCCCTATGTTATGGTATCTACTAAAAAACCTTAATGAATGAGAAGGGTTCAAAATCAAATCTTAACAACTTGAAAAGGAAATGAATAGAAGATTTATTCATATCACACGATTCGCGTACAGACTGAATCAAATTTCATCATTATTAAAAATCATCATTGACATTTCGGAATTGATAATTTCTTTAGAATTTTTAAAAAAAATGCTTTTTAATGATCAAGAGCAGAATTCGCTCGTTTGCCTCCTATTAGATTACTCGGGTACTAGAGCGATCGAGCCTAATTATTGGGGCCAAAAATTAAAAATCATGATGGATGAGCAGAGAAAATTAAGAGCTTACATTTTGAGCGAACAAATTCGGTATTTAAAGGATTTACAAGATTGTGAATATTTGAGAGACTTTATAAGAGAATTTCCATTACCTACCCCGTCCGATAAATTATTTATGTTACAAGCCATTAAAATTTGTCCAGAAGTACTATATTTTGCTCCCGATGAAATCAAATCGGACAGAGAAATTGTATTGGAGGCTGTTAAAAAGGATGGCCATGCGTTATCATATGCTCTTGACACTTTTTGTGAAGACCGTGAAATTGTTTGTACTGCCATTCAACAAAATCCAGAGTCTTTTCGATATGCTTCCGAGGAGTTTAGAGGTGACATTAATATTGTAAAACAAGCCCTTTTTCATCCTCTCTCTCAAAATAGCGAATTTGTTGCCTATGATGTATTAGAGTATTGTCAAGAGCCAGCAACAAAGATTATCGAAAACGATTACAACTTAATTATGGAGCTCGTAAAGAAAGATGGTCGCATTTTGAAGTTTGCAAGTACAGAATTACAATCAAATCGTAAAATTGTAAGAGAAGCTGTTTTGAATAATAGAAAAGCTCTTGCATGGATGGACGAAGAGTTGTTAACCGATGATGAAATTATTTCAGCTGCCTTTAATTCTAAAATAACAACCACCAAAGACAGCCGTAGACGAACTCAAAAGTTAAGAATATTGAAGTTTTTTGATTCACACATGATAGCAACTTGCGATCGTGAATTTATTTTAAAGATCGTCAAACATGATCCAGATTCTTTTGAATTTGCAAAAGGTTTTTATAACGACCGAGAAATTGCATATGAAGCTGTTAAAGGAAATGCTGCCATGTATGAATTTATTTCGAACAATTTAACACAAGATCGAGAAATAGTGCTAGAGGCTGTAAGAAAGAAAGGACAACTGTTGAACATGATACCCAAGCACTTTCTGAGTGACAGAGAGATAGTATTGGAAGCAGTCAAAGCAGATGGAGATTATGCTCTTCAGTTTGTAAAGAATGAAACATTAAGGAACGATGATGAAATTATTGAAGCGTATGTTAAAAAAGGGTGTCTTCGTCAACTCAAAGGAACACGTCACGCAAGTAATAAGTCCCTGGTCCTGCAAGCTGTACAGGTTGATGGCAGAAGTTTATATTATGCTGACTCTGAAATGAAGGAAGATATTGAGATTGTGTTGGCAGCCGTAAAAAGTTTTGGATCTGCTTTGCAAGAGGCTTCTCAAGAGTTGAAAAACAACTTTGAAGTGGCCATGGCAGCCGTAAGTGAAGATGGTCGTGCTTATAAATTTGTATCCGATGAACTGAAGAACAACCATGATATTATTGTGAAAGCACTACAAAAAGATGCTTCCATGTTGGAATTTGTCCCAGAAAATAGAGTGACAACTAAAATGGTTATGGAATGCATGGAGGAACAACCTTGGACGTTTGAATTTGCTCCACAAGAACTAAAATGTGACAAGCAATTCGTGAAAAACATGATCAAAAAAACAAAGGATGGCAAAATTTTAAATAAGGCCAGTGAGGAATTGAGTAAGGATCTAGAATTGGTGAGAGAAGCAGTGAAATATGGACTTCGTTTTCGATTTATTCCTCTTAAATAAAATTGAAGCTTACCACTACCTGTACTGTACCGTTTTCAATGTCCGTTCCTCGGCCTCAACTGGGATGCAATAAGGAACTTCCCTGTTGTTGAAAACAATTGACCTGATATCCAAGTACGATAATGTCCCTTAACCTCCATTAATTGTTATCTGGCAGCTCTACTTGATTCTCCCTCCAAAAACTGTTGAGAAAACCATTCTCAAAAAAAATGTGTAACAACAATACTTCACTTCCCTCATATCCAAACCTTAAAAAATCTGAGCCCTCTCCTCCTAAAGAAAAAAGAGATTTGGTGAATGCCTTCTTGAAAGCGTTTCCTCAAGATGAGCTACCTTTTAAAACTGAACATCAACAGTACCGTAAACGCGTACCCGATTGCAAAAAATACTTGTACTATCTTTGCATTGCTGATGAAAAACGTTTCAAAGAAGAACATAAACTCAGGTCTCACTTGTATCCAGAATCATGGAAGCAATTTAGAAACTGCTGTTTGGATTTAGTGATTGATCAAAATTTTAAAGTTCCTAAACCAAGGGACAGAAAGAGAGATTATAGTCGCCTCTTTCAAGAACGCTTGGCATGGTTACCAACTATGTATCAGGAAGTTGTGGGTCTCCCTTTTACGATGAACACGAAGGTGGAAATACCAAGTGTGAATTGCGAAATCTATCCAGCCTTTTTTTCCAAAAGTTTGATTGTAATGGTTGCACCTAACATCAAGAACAACATTCAAGCTATGCAACAAATGGTTTATGCTTTATGTTTCTCATCAGAGACTCAAAATCCTGATGGAGTGTTGATGGATGAAGAGGATATCTTTGTGATATGTCGTTTGAATGATGGAACTTTGTATCTGTATGAACAGTTGAAGTCTAATTTCGTTCCAGACCTTTGTTTTCTCTTCGGAACGCTGGTGCTTAGTTTGGCTAGTCGGACATCAAGTGAAATATATAAAGACATTGACATAGCCATCCCTTTTAGATATTTGTTAACCATTGAACCGCTTCTTGAAAAACTTGGAAAGAAAGGGGTCAATGCCATGTACAATAAGGCAGTCAGACGTAGATATCATGAGCTAAACGAAAAAGAAGACCAATCTCAGTAGTGAACAACAATGAGCGACAGTGCTTAGACCTTAGTTAATTTTTTATATCTAACGAAAGTGTAAAGCACACTAAACAATTGATAAACTTCTTCTCGTTGAGTCATGTCAAAAGTTTTAAACACCTGTAACTGAGAGTTATTGCAGAACTGATCCTTTGTCGGTTGTTGTGATACCAAAATAAGGTAGGCTTTGTCCTGATCTATCAGGTAACCCAAAGCGAAGCCTTTTCCATCTTTCACTGACAGTTTTGCAAACTGTAAGGACAGCAGCACTACTTTGAGAATATCGATGCGATGTTTCAAAATGTCCAACTTTTTGTGTTCTCCAACAACAGCTGCCTCTTTACAACTGATGTCTGGGCGAGTTCTCATACAAGTTGCCTCATACACAATAACCAATTTGTCTAAGGTGTAATGAAATCCAAAATCATGGAGAATCATCGGAATCCATCCTATTTTCATTACATTGAGATCCATTTCAGTAAGGTATGTCTTTGTATTTCTTCCCGTTTTGAAAACAAAATCCAAGTAACTCAGTCCTGCACTCATGTCATACTCACAATTCTTCTGGTTGTTTTGGGCAGCATTCATAACTTCTCTAACATCAGTGTCAATATGAACCTCCTTGTAAGCTTGTTCTAGTTCAGTAAAGACAAATTTGAACTAAATTTAAATGGCAACCCCATTCGTTTCAAAAGCGTCAAGAATCAAAAGGGCAACATCTTTTTGTTCTTGATTATACGAGTCTGGAATACTTCTTTCATCGTACTTAGGTATTATAATTTTAACGATGTCGTCAGACGAAGTATTTTCCATACATTCAAACATTGAGATCTTCTGTCCTTCGTCGTCCAAATATTGATTGATCAAGGGACCCTCTAAGCTGGTTGATAAGGTCGAATTGTTAGTTTCAAGTTCAACCAGAGGTATTTTCTTTCTTTGACGAGCAACTCTCTTCTTTGGACGTTTTTCCGAAGAACCTCCTTTTGGAACAACCTTCTTAGAGGCCGATGAAATGGTTTCACGCTCATAGTTAGTTGCGGTATAGGTACCTGGGGAAGCCTTGGACTTCATTACAGGAGTACAAGGACTCTCTTTCTTTCGTTTCAAATCGGGCATGTTGATAAGGTCAATTTTTTCAAATACTTTGCAGAAATATTCAAAGCCTTTGCTTGTAAAGATGGCTTGGGGAACATCGTGAAAAATTGTGCTGTTTTTTTGCCAAACATAGTGGAACAAATCTTCCATTTCTTGATGTGAGCAATTGCATTCTCTGCTACTATTCTGATTGCTGCTAAGCCTCGATTGAACTGTTTCTCTTTCTCTGTGAAAAAGGATTCATTTCCGATGAATGTATTCATCAACAAAAACGTCGCTGTTCCCAAAAAACGTTAAGTCAACTGGGTCAGGAAAACGAGTGTATAGATGTCGAATGATCAACAACATCCATGAGCACAGTTGGTTCATCGTCACAACAACAACATGATCAATCATCATCGTTTCATCTCTTCTCCAAACAAGAGAAGGTTGCATCTTCCGTCCTTTCCAAACAAAATGTCTCACAAACAGTTCAGCCTTCCTGGTCAGGACATTTAGAAGTAGTTCCTCATGCAGTTAACACCACTACAAATCCTTCTGAAGAACAAACGGTCAAAGATCATTTACCACAAACAACACACCAATGAACTTTTCATGAAGCGAATCATAAAGTTGATATTCCGACGATGGCCTTCTCGCTGTATGTATTACCATTATGAATGTTATTTTGTTGTTGGTTTTATTACAGGGATTATTTGGATGGTTTCATGTGAGTTGGATCAAAATCTTTGCCAATTTACAACAATTATGCTTGTAACGAGCTCGTTTACAATGACCTTGAATTAACGATAATTTGTCAACCAGAAGTTTTTCTCCCATTTCACTACAGCTTGTTGCCAATTCGCGACGGTATTCAAATGAACAAGAAAATACCACTCACTATGATTAGGACAACAAGTACTGCAATAATCCACGCCTTTTGATATGGAAATTGGTTAATTGAAATAGTATACGGTCTTGCACACTTCTCTGTTTTCATAATCATTCCATCACTCTCATCAATGACAAAATCGGATCTCATCTGGTTCATTTCATTTTCCTGAATGTAAATATTCTGAAGCATCATTTCAAACAAGTTAAAATTATCACGATATACATTCGTTTCTACATAAAATGGAATTCCAATTCGTTTTGATAATTCTAATCCTTCATGATACGTCATTTTTCTCTCCTCACACGACAAATCATTCTTATTTCCAACCACAACATTCAAACACTTAGATTTAACAAGACCTTGTTGCAACACAAAAGAATTCCATTTTCTAAATTCATCTAAATTTTCTTCAACAGTTTTTGAGACATCCAAAACATACAAGACTCCATCGGCTGGATGTTTTTTTCGCCAATTTAAAGCACCAAATCGTTGACCCATCGTGCTGACGTCTGTAAAGACTCTACCCTTAATAGTACATTCATCGAATTGGATGGAATTAAAAAATATTTGAAAAAGTTTGGACTGAAATTGAAAATGTTGAAAAGCAGTGGCAAGTGAATGCTTGCCGACATTGGAACCTCCAACAATTATAACTGTAGTATTGAAAGTATTAGTAGTAAAATATTATTATAAATATTATAAAAATGGTAATTATTAAAATATTGAAATGAATTGAAAATGATGAAAAAAATGATATTAATCCAAATTAATCCATCACGTACTATCAAACGTTTGAGTGCGTTGTTTCAATGATTTCATCATTTGTTTTTTCAAATTCCGAAACATCCACTCTTCTCTCAAATGTTCACCATCATTTGTTTCCACAAGAAAATCCACAAGTATGATGCGAACATTATTTTCACAAGACAGAGTACGAGCGAGCATCATGATTCATCATCATGTCTGCTTTATTTTTTTTAAAAGTGGAACTGATCTCCCTAAGTTCACAATTCCAATCACAACAATAAATTTACAAAAAAAAAAATTGCATTGATTCGTTCTACCATTCACTCAATATTCATCAAAAACAAGCCCATATGGATTCAGTAATTTTGGAGTTATCGGATTTTGGAGATCAACAACTTGCTCTTGATCCAAATTTTAGTAAATTGAGAGACAAGATGAGAAAATCGTTAAAACAAGCCTTCTCTATGAATTTTGATCTGGTGTATACTTTTAAAAAATCATCCGCTAACAAGTTACACTCTCCGAGTGATGTAAAGATTTCATATAATAATGATTGCATTGTTGTAGGAAATCGTGGAGATTGCAACATTATTTTTTTCAATTACACCACAAAATTGTACATGACCTCATTCAAACCTGCAAAACTTTTTTATTGTTTTCTCATTGAGAATGGAGAATATCAGGACAATGATTATTTCATAATTAACGATGAATATTCAACAATGTCAAAATATCATTTGGCCACGTTGATAGATCATTGTAAGAACGGAACAAACTGTGACACTCTTTGGGAAAATAATACATTATCTTCTCCATACGGAATGACCATTCGTAGAGAAAAAAACAAGAAAACAAATGATGTTGCTGAGAATTGGATTTATGTTAGTAATTGTGGCACCAATTCCATTGTTGTTGTGAAGGCTGCTACCGGAACAAAAGTTATGGACATCAAATTTGGACAACCCACTTTATCTCAACCTTATGGTATTGAATTTATTGTGGGAGACTCGATGCTGATTGTGAGTGAGTACAACAATCGAAGATGTTCTATTTTGAAACAAGACGAAAACGGCGATTGGCAAGTGGATAAAACCATCCAGACAGGGCATATCACAGGAGAAGATTTTGATTGCCCTCTCGGTATTGCTTACGACAAGATTGGCAGACGAATTTTCGTTTGTGACCAATACAAGAGTGCAATCAGAATTTTGAACGAACAAGGACAAATAATTGGTGCGTACAAAGGAGGTTCAGGAAATATCTCAATGGGAAGACCTTTTGGTATAACTTTTGATGAAAGAAAAGGTGAGCTCTATGTCACTCATTTCTCAGCTAATGAGGTCAGAATTTACAGATAAAGACTTTGTGATTGAACCAAGATCTTGCACTGCAATTTCACATTGCCTGTCCAAATTTACACGTTAACGAAAAAATGCAACCACTTCACCATAGAGTTGACATCACTAGTGATGATGAACGGAATTCGTCTCCGAGTGCATCGGAACCAATGATTGATCACTTCGAGGATAATGATGATGTCCACATAGAGTCAAGCTGTAATGATATAATTTCAGAACAAGGAATCTGCACAAATGATTCCACCACGAACAATTGTATGAATTTGGATAACAACGATGATTGTCATGGCAACATGTTCACGAATAACAGACCTATTAATTTTAATTTTCAATCCCATATCTTGAACAAGAGCTCCCGAATTACGGATCCTCTTCAAGTCATTTCCAAAGAAGAGCTAGATACAACCGTTCAATTATTACACCGATTAAACCAACATCGATATTTACTGAAACATTCATTCTTACAGCCTCTCTTGGAAATTGGAACTCTGGTGTTTCAGCCTTTGAGCGATGAAGAAAAAATCAAACGAAGAAAAGAACGAAGAAAGCAGGCTAAAAACAAGAGAAGAGAACATGACGAAAAGATTTTATTGACCACTGAAATGAAAAAACGAAAACATAAAGAGCTAGATATCATCAAAGAGCAGCTCGATCAGAAAATGGAACACGAACATTTCATGTTGAAGCAAACAGAGGAAGCGATTTCATTGGTAGATATTTCGGAAGAACCTTTGGAAAAAGTAAGAAAAACGAGTAGACGATTGAAAATGTTTTCCAAAGCTCCACCCCGAAGTCAAATAGAGGAATTAAATTCATCCTTGGTGAATGATACAGTCAATACTGGAGATTCTAGTTCCTCTTTGCCAGAGCAACATGAGAGTCATAGATCTGAAAATGTCAACAACACACAACACCAGCCACAAGGAGCATTCACAGAGCCATTGTTCACAAAAAGGTTGTGTTATCAATGTAAGAAGACATTTGACCATGTACATTTCTTTTATCACAGAATGTGTCAAAGTTGTGGTGATTTTAATTACAAAGCAAGAATTGAAACCTGTGATCTTACTGGAATGATTGCCTTAATTACTGGAGGAAGGTAAGTTAGTGAATTTTCGTGTATTCTTACATCCTTTGTTACCAAAATAGGGTAAAAATTGGGTATGAAACCTCACTGAAACTTTTAAGAAATAATGCTGCGTTAGTTATTGTCACTACTCGTTTTCCAAAAGATGCTGCCAAGAGATATAGTCAAGAACCCGATTTTCACACTTTTAAATCAAGACTTCAGATCTATGGGTTAGATTTAAAACATGTTCCAAGTGTGTATGCTTTTACTGATTTTCTAAAGCAAAAGCTTCCAAGGTTGGATATTATTATCAATAATGCCGCACAAACCATCAGGAGACCATGTGCTTACTACAGACATGTTTGTAATGATGAGCTGAGAATAAGTCTAGACGATTTAAGCGAGGATGTCAAGCAAATTTTACCCACTGATTTTCACATGAGCATGTCATCCATTCAACATGCAGATGCAGGCATTCAGATGCTGTTATCACCAGTCAGTGACGAGCTATATGCTCTTCCAGATCAGAATGCATCAGTCTCCAATTCTCAATCCTTCAACGACAATCCTCACCAAATCTCCATCAACCAAAACACTTCACTTTCTACGATTCCTATAACCTCATTGAAGGCCCTAAACGACCCTCACAATATTTCTACGAGCTCAATTGTGTCGCAAATCCCACTTCTTGAAGAAGATCATACGTACGATAGAGAAGCATTTCCATACTCTGTACTGGACATCAATAAGAGTCAGGTCGATTTGAGGAAAACAAACTCGTGGGTACAACATCTTGATGATGTTCCATTCTATGAATTTCTGGAAGTACAAACAATCAATGTGACCGCTCCTTTTATTTTGACATCACGCTTAAAATCTCTCATGACCAAAATACCTCACACTGATAAATTTATCATTAATGTAAGCAGCATGGAAGGTCAATTTTATAGGAGAAGCAAGACCACAACGCATCCACATTTGAATATGGCAAAGGGTAAGTTTTGGAGCAACAAGTGTTCAATTGTACTAAGCTTTGTTGAACCATTTCATAGCCTCACTGAATATGATGACACGAACATCTGCCGCTGATTACGCCAAAGATAACATTTACATGGTTTCTGTGGACACTGGATGGAATAATGACGAATCTCCTTTGGACATTGAAAATGTCAAACGCACGTACTTTTGCCCTCTGGATGAGATTGACGGTGCTTCGCGTATCCTCTATCCCATTGTTGCATGTAAAAAGGAAGGAAAGAAATATTTTGGCGTTTTCTTAAAGAATTATGAACCTTACTATTGGTGAAGATATTTGGAATTTAGATTTTATTCTGTATTTCTACGTAGTTAACCAGGTATGTTCCATCGTCCGTTACGAATGTTAGAAGACTCAATTATTGAATGACCCTCAAGAAAGGAAAGATATTAACTTTTGATGGTAGTTAAATCAAATGCTTGAACTGAGATCGACAAGTAAATCCTGACGTTTTTCAGACCCGTTTTCATCCGAGTACGTGTCAAACGTTGCCTCAATATCTCACATTTCATGTACAAGATACATGAAGAGTGTTCATGAAGGATATTTCGGTATGACGACCAATGTTTTTATCTCCCTTTTAAATTTACAACCAAGAAGAAATATCCAATTTGATTAGAGTGGGTGCAAACTTCTGAGACGATTGTGCGTCATCAAGTAATACAAATTCAAAACAAAAGTGCCATCAGCAATTCCAAATCAAATTGAGAGACTTTCGCAAGCATGTTTCATCAGGTGAGATTGAAGATGGATTCTCAGACTCCACAAACACGATTCGATATCCTGTCAACAACAACGACAGCAAGTGAACAAACATGTCCATGTCCAACTAACAACAACCACACCACCACCACATGTACAACTCCCAAGACTACCACGCTCCATCATCCACACGATCAACTCCATCAGTGTCCATATTTCTCATTACCTCATCATCATAATGACTTGACAGCTTATGGCCTGAAACATTTACCCTTCAACCACAGAAGCGGGTATTTAAATTCGTCGCTGGTGATGCTACTCCTACTGTTGACACTTCTCTCCACACAATTACAACAACACCACACCATCATGGCCACCACTCTCTTTCCCAATTCGATTCCATATCCTGACGATCAAGATATTGCTAACCTCAAACCTTATTCTCAATCGTATTATATTACGAGCTTTGTATTGGACAATACATATTCGGATCTGTGCTCGATGAATACTTCCTTCTCTGCATCATGGATCGAGTCAAATTCTTCAAGAAATAATCTCACCAATTCATGTTTTTCATACTTTTGTGAGTGTTCCGTTGATTCTCGTGTGTGTTTGAATTTAACGCATTCACTAATCTCGAATCAAACTTTTCAACGAGATTATTTTGTCATGATGAATTATTGTTTGTCTTGTAACACAGAGGAAGCACATGCGTTTCGAAAGGAAATTAATGGATCCAATACCAAGTGTTCTCAACGATTTCCAAGTTTGGAACGAATTCAAAGATCCATGTTAAAACATTGTAATGGTGGATTTTTGGAAGACAAGGCTCTAAATTCGATTCTTGCTTCAGCCTTAGAAATATATAACTACGACAACACCACTACTAACACTTCGGATGATCTATCAGGATTAAGTCCTAATTTTAACATTGGCATTGTGGATTGGAGATTCTTTCAACCCGATTTGTATTATTCCAACAAGTACTTGAAAAATTATTCATTGAATATTCAAGATCATACGCTTCATCTCTTTGAGAGTTTATTCCTATCAGAGACTGTGAATCCAGTCATGTGTTGGTGTCGGAATCAACCTTACCAGAAATTTGCATTTCAATGTGGAGACGCCTATGACCATTTTTTCATTCCTTTCAAGTATATTGGAACTCCCTTAATTGTGATTGTGTTGGCATTACTGGCGCTCGTGAGTTCTATCTTTTACAATAGTCTACCTTTGATTGTTTCAAAGAGGAAGAAAATCTTCCATCTTTTTCAACAGGAAATTGCATTACGTTCGACTTCACAATGGTATTTAGTGGTTTGGACAAAAATCATGCTGGAGCAATGTTTTCTAACGGATTTGAGAGCAGCTATTCTATTCTTTCAGACATGTGCATCGATTTTCATGGTGGTGGAGAATGTTATTGGCTTTGTGTGGAATTTCATGTTTTGGAATTCTCAATTTGATAATAATGAACTCTATGGATGTTTTAGAGCTCTCTCAATATTTTCCATGTCCATGACATTTACAGCATTATTGGTTCATTGGTCACATGTAGTGGATTTGATTAATGCGACAGCCACAGTGTCGAAGCCAAAGAGACATCTCTCACGAAAGAATCTCATTATTTTGGTGTCCATCTACATGTTCAATATCATTGTGATTTTAATAGGATCGATAGTTTCAGGAGTCTTACGAAAGAGCACTCCACTTTTTGCATGCGCTGCAGCAGCCATGATTTTATTACCCACGATTTTGATTATTGCATTTACTATTTATGGCTTTCGAATTTATTGGAGATTGAAAAGAACTCAAACCAATTTTGTGGAATTGAGGTTTACAAGATTTATTATTTTGTTTAATATTAGTTTAGCAATAGGATTTGGTTTGGCATGTGTTTTCATTCCAACTTTTATAATTCGATGGGATATTTGTAAGTATTGGTATATTGTGAGTGAAATGTTGAATCAAAGATCGAAATGGTGCTCTTTTTCAATGATTTTTAGATGGTATCTTTGTTGGCCTTTTCAAAAACTTTGTTATTGACTGTTCTTGTATATTATTCATTGCACTCATTACTTATATTTTGTGCCATGAAGGAGAATTCAAACAATGTTATGGCTCGTGCTTGACACAAATTTTCCTTTGTGAATGTTCCAAAGATCACTCCTCAGGAGAATCAAACACCATTACTAAAATAGAAAAGCAACAAGTTTCACCAACAAGAACACTCCATACTGATTCGCCTTCTGTAAACAATACTGTGGAAACAAACATTATTGCCACGGATGACAGCAAGGAAGTGAATAGTTCCTTCACAACACCTGTGAGCTCTATTGCACATTCAAAGAACATTAATGGAGGAAGTGAAAAGGCTCAAAGTTCCGTTTAAATAATAAAAACCATTCTCGAGCACGAACTCATTTACAGTGTTCCCTAGGTTGGAGAATTAGTAGTGAATCCCTTAAAAACTGTACATGTTTTGGCACGTGACTAATTTTCCAGTCCATAAAAGTATTCACTGCCTTTTTTCATTTCCGTGCTTTGAGGCGAGATTCTCTGTGTCGAATAATACCCATCTGCATCTCTGGTTGTTCTATTTATTACAACAAAAACTTATTCCTTGGGCTAAGAATAACAATCCAATTCGTCATGACTCGTTGAATACAATGAACATGTTCAACAAAGATAAAAGAGTTCATTCTCTTTAACGTCCTGAACAGCAACCAAATCCTCAAAATAGTTTGCTCCTATCAGCTTCTCGCTCCGAGAAATTCTAACCTGGTTTCATAATAATAACCGATTGCACCCGGTTTATTGTCCAGAACAATTTCAAAAAAAAAGCCAATCACAAGCTCTCACCCCATCACCCGCACAAACACATCGAGGCTCTCAATGAGTGTTGTTTTTCAAACTACCCCACCACAAGCACAATTAGAGGTTCATCCGCCATCACTTGTACTCGTATTTCCAAGAGAAGATCCAACAACAGTCAATACCCGTGTTGTTGAGAATTATCTTTTGGAGGAGTTTGAAAACACACATACTACTTCTGCTGAAACTAGTTCAAAGATCATCGTTAGATCCCTCGATGATGAATTTTCCAAGATTGAATTAATTCAACAATCCTTTGATGATGAAGAAGAGAACCATGTCATCTCATATGAAGACATTAACGACACTCAATATTACCACCAAAGCCGTGCGGTAAAGGCTTTTAAACCTATCATGGAACAGTACTTTGAGGCAGAGTACTTTCCAACTTTTGATGAAAAGACTCAACAACCTGTTACTCTGAAAGAAATTGTTAGAGACGTTTGTTCAGACATTGAAGAAGGTCAACAACATTTGATTGACTTGTCTCATGTCGTCAGACAAGTTGAGAGATGGAGAAAGGCTTTCCCTCGTGTGAATCCATACTATGCTGTGAAGTGCAACCCACAAACCGGTATTATTAAGATCATGTACATGATGGGTTGTGGATTTGACTGTGCCAGCTTGAGCGAGATTCAACAAGTTTCTCAAGCATGCAGAGAGGTTGATGAATGGCTACAAGCTCATCCAGAGCATTATGAAACTTTGGCCTACATCAACAAGGTTGACTCAATTTTGGTCAAGTCAAAGAAATTCTCTCCATCCACTGACATTATCTTTGCCAACCCTTGCAAACAACTCTCTCATGTGAGACATGCAAGAGATAGTGGAGTCGAATGGACCACTATTGACTCTGTCATTGAGATTGAAAAATTGAGCAAGAATTGGAAGCATGCTAAAGGAGTGATCAGAATCAAGACAGCTGACTCCAACTCTGCCTTTGCTTTTTCTGGCAAGTTTGGTGTGTCTGTCAACAAGGCAAGAGAGCTCTTTGTTGCTGCCAAGGAACACAATGTCGAGTTGTGTGGCGTCTCCTTCCATGTTGGTTCTGGCTGTCGTGACGTTCAAGCATACGTCCAAGCTGTTAAGGACGCAAGAATTATCTTTGACATGGCTGAACAATTTGGATTCCAGTTCAATTTGTTGGATATTGGTGGAGGATTCTTGGGAGGTATAAATGAAAAGCCATCAGTTGAGGATGTAGCTTCCAATGTTGCACATCTTATCGACGAGTTATTCCCACCTCATGTCCAAGTAATATCTGAGCCTGGTAGATACATTGCTACTGCAACATCCACATTGGTTTGTAGCATCTTCACAAAGAAGGATCTTCGTGAAGAGAATGAGTTGTATTATCAACAACTTGCTGAACAAATTGGTGATGAGAATGTAGTAAGAGACAAGGACGACTTTATTTATTATGTGAATGACGGCATTTATGGCTCTTTCAACAATATTTACTTTGATGCCTACAAGCCAACGTTCAACACTACCAAGACTCCTGAGGAAATGGGAACAAAGAGATTCAAATCCACCGTATTTGGCCCAACTTGCGACTGTTTAGATGTAATTGCCAAGAATTATGAGTTGCCTGAGATGAACACTGGAGATTATTTCTACTTTCCAAATTTCGGTGCTTATACTACATCTGCAAGCTCTAGCTTTAACGGTTTCAAAGCAAGCAACTTTTATTACATTTATAGAAATTAGAAGTATTATGTGTGAACCGCTTCCCTGCCCACAAAATAAAGTCTCATGTACATATCCAACCATTAAGGGTTTGTTTTTTACGGAAAGGCTTATACATGTGTCACAACGATGAAACGTGGTTTGTGATTCCATGCTGGAAATCCAACTCCTTCATCTCCGCGTTTAGGACTGAGTTACTCAATACACAAGAATCCAAAATCATGCACCAAAATAAAAATGGCTTCAACACCCAGCTCCGAACATGGCCTTGTGAATCTCAAACAAGGCCAGCATGTTTCTTCTTCAACAACAACTGAAATCATGGAAGAACATCATCATCCACAGATTATCGGAGTAAAGGATGATGAAGCTCTCAAAGTCCATCACTTGGACGACGAGACAGCATTCATAAAAAATCATAATGATGATTATGATGAACAACATAATTTTAAAACAATCATGGATGAACACTCAATACAGGCACATGACGAATCGCCGATTACTTCAAACTCTAATGAGAAGGGAATGTTGGAAAAATTGAAAAAGGGAGCTACTTGGTTCTTTTCATCTCAGCTCTATGCTAACTTGTTAATGGTTGGAACTTTATTCACTTTTGGAGGTATGATAGAAATTTGAATTTTCATTGATTTTAAAATCGTTCGTTTTGCTGTGAATGATACATGGAATGGTTGGATTTGACATTCTTTAAACCTTTTTTACATTTTTGGAAAATTATCAAATACTGTTGAAAGGCTTTTGCGTACTAGCACCTAACCCAATTAGTCGTTTTCAGCCTCCAATATTTGCATTTGTACGAACTTCACTGATCACAGTAGTACTGTTTTTCCTCTCAATATTTATTGACAGAAATTATTCGTTTAGGTCTGAAAGGGCTCTTGCAAGATACAAAAATCCAATTCTTCGATACATCAAAATGAAAACGCCCACTTTTAAAATGTTTAAGAAATTATGTATTTGTGGCTCCATGAATACGATCAATATGGTTTTTTTCGTCATTGGTTTAAATATGACGTCAGCCACAATTGCTGGACTGCTACAGCCATTGATTGCAGGTATGTTCACGAAAATATTCCTTAGAAATTGATAATTTTTTTTCATTTCCATATTTAAACAGTTGGTAGGTTTTTTTCATCAATTTCATTCATGAAATTCAATTATTGTTGACCGCCACAAATAGAGGTCTGTATCTTCTCCATCTTGCTAAAACGAGAGGCAAAAGGAATTATCAAAATTTTGGGAGTGTTGATTTCATGTTTTGGAGCAATATCCATGCTTGGAATTTCTGCTCTTTTAGACGGAGAGGAAATTGCTGAAGCCACAGATCCTGAAGAAACTCCACAAAAATCCATTTTACAAACCTTTTCACTCACCATTGGAATGATCTTGATTGTGTTGAATACTTTGGCCTATTCTGTCTATTTAATTTTATTGAAAAACTTGACCAAAAAAGTGCCACCTGTGACATTGAGCATGTGGACATTCTTGGGTGGACTTTTAATTCCATTCATTGTTGCTTGCTATTACTATCCTTCTTTTCAGTTTCGAAAATTGGATGCAAATTCATTTATTGGTCTTGCCTATGCAGTGTTCATTCACGGTACATTGAGCTTTGTGATGAATTCAAAGGCATCAAGTCTCACCTCTCCAACGGTAATAGGAATCTACAACACTGTTTCACCCATAGTGACTACCTTCATGACAGTGACAATATCAGGAGAAACTGTTTCACCTTGGATTATTCCAGGAGCCATTGGAATTCTTGTTGGACTTGCTTTTGTTATTTTCTCCAAATGGAGAGAGGAAAGGCAACGTCAGAAAGACGAACAAGATCTTAAGGCTCGTGAGAAGCAACAAGTTGAAGATAGCCAAGAATTGCAAGAATTCGATGAGCAAGCATAAAAAGTGTTGTAGTGTGAATTCTGGTTGTTGTTGAAATCATTGACGTCACTTCTCTTGGAGGTACAGTATGATGTCGTCACTCGGAGAGACGTTGGTGTTGGTTCCTTAATAGCAACAATGAACTTGATGGTGAATCTTGCTAAAACACAAAAACAGGCACGAACTTGGAACTTGATCATGGCCAGTTAAAAAACCACATTCTCTTCAAAAAGTTCATACCAAAAACAAATTCAAGATTGCCAATCAGCACCACCTCACAGAGAATGAGAAAATTAAGTAGTTTATTTTCTTGGAATACCAAGAAGGAAGAAGAAGTACCATCCTCCACCTCCGCTCCATCCGAGTATATTGAAGCCCTTCGGGAAGATTCCTACGTGAACCATTACGAACGACAAGTTATCAATGCGAAACGAGGAGCTATTTTACGAACCAATAAGGACTTGAAACTCTCTTCCAAAGAGCAAGAATTGGTCGATTTCAGTGAAAAGATTGTCGATCTCGTCTTTGTGTGTGACAATACTGGATCCATGTCTGGTGAGATCAATGTCGCCAAAGATACCATTCAAACCATTATTACTTCACTTCATGATCATTTCAAATCCGATTTGAGATTTTCAGCAGTGAGTTATCGAGATCATTCCGATGACTATGCTGTCAAGGAATTTCCATTCACTCGTGACGTGAAAGTAGCAAAGTCATACATTAATGAAATGTTTGCCCAAGGAGGAGGTGACTATCCTGAAGCTTTGGCCAGTGCTTTGAAAGTTGTTTCAGAAATGCCATTCAACAAAAAAGGAAAGAAAATTGTCAGAGAGACATTTTCCGTTCGTTTTTGTTGCCAAATAATCCATAAAAAGAGTCAATTGTTGATCATTTTGTGATCTTTCACACACTAGTGTATAAAAGACACATCCCTTTTCCATTAAATAATC